GCGGGGTCGTCGTGGGCGAGCGGGAACCAGAGGCAGGAACAGGCGAGGCCGATCCCACCTGGAAGAGGACGGTGGGCGGGCCCTGTGCTCTCCGCTGGACTCTGCCCAGCACTCCTGCCAGGTCCCAGGTCCGCACATCGGGGAAGGGGGGAGGGGGGTGGAGGACCCCATCTTCCGTGGAGGCCTCTTCCCACCCCTGGACCCTGCCCGGGCCGTCTTGCTTGCTGCTGCCAATGGCGTGGGGCCATTCCGAGCCCAGTGCCTTTGCCCGTGAACTTGAGACGCCCTCACGGTTGAGCTGCCAGTCAGCATCCCCCCGCTAGTCAGGCTGCTGCCAAGATTCTTTCCTCCGGGCCTGGCCGGTGGGGCTCAGCGGGTTGGCCCTTGTGCACCAAGAGGTCGCTGATTCGATTCCGGGCCAAGGGCACCTGCCAGGTTGTAGGCTTGATCCCCAGTAGGGGGCGTGCAGGAGGCCGCTGATGTTTCTCTCTCCTCATTTTTTATGTGTGTGTGTTTGTCATCTTTTTAAAAAATATTTTTATTGATTTTAAAGGAAGAAAGGATAGAAACATCAATGAGAACGAAACATCGATGTGCTGCCTCCTACACTCCTCTTATGGCGGATCCAGCCCACAGCCCTGATTGGAATGGAACTAGGGACCTCTTGGTGCATGGCCGATGCTCAACCACGGAGCCACACCAGCTGGGCTCTCTCTCATCGCTGATGTTTCTCTCTCTCCCTCTCACTTGCTCTCTGAAATCAATAAAAATGTATCTTCTAAAAATAAAAACGTAATTGCACCAAGACGACATTTTCAATGTCTCACAGAAGAAACTCCTCTGGCACCCTTGGCGGCCCCCCTGGAAACAGGAGGGGGTGTCCCCGGGCGTCCCAGCTCAGCCTCCTGCGTCCTCCTGCAAAGTCACAGCACAGCTAGCCCTGAGCACGGCCCTGTCATTGTAAACACCACGTCTGTGAGGGCTCGGGTAACCACGGGGGACTCGTGTCACGGACGCCCACCCCGCCCAGCCCTCGCCGTCAGAAAACAAACTCCTGACTCGCAGGAGAAATGCACAGACTCACCGAAGATGTAGAAGACGTACGGCCACCCCAGGGTCTCGCAGAGGAAGCCACCGACGAGGACGACGGTCAGGGAGCCCAGCATGAGCCCTAAACACGGCGGCGGCGGCGGCGGCGGGGATGTTCGGGGTGAGGGGTCAGGCTCGGCACTCCGCGTGCCTCCTGCAGACTGAGCTGGTCCCAGAGCCGAGAGGCTCAGGGGTGGACGCCCTGAGGCCCACCTCCTGCCTCTCCCCTCAGTAGCCACGTGACCCTGGTCTGTTTCTGCCTCCACTGGCCTCATTTGCAAAATGAAAATAACGCGCTTGAAGATGAATTAACAAGTGCAGAGCACTCGCCGGTGCGGGTTGAGTGTCGACCTAGGAACCTGCAGGTCACAGTTCCATTCCCGGGTGGTGGGCTGCATCCCCAGTGCGGGGCGTGCAGGAGGCAGCCGATCCATGATTCTCTCATCACTGATGTTTCTCTCTCCCTCTCCCTCCCTCTCTGACATCAATAACAATATTATTTTTTTAAGAAAGAAGAAGCAGAGTTAGGGCAGTGCTTTCACGCGAGGACTCGGGGGAGGTGGGAGGAGGTGTGGCGCCGGTCCAGGCCCTCGCCTGGGGCTGGGGTCGGTGCAGGACGGGTGACCCCGAGGCCTCACCTACCTGAGATGGAGATGGTGATGAGCTGGTTCATTTCCAGGGGGGGAGCCCATTTCACCCAAATTAAATACTGGCTTGTCTGTACCATCGCCTGCGGGGGCGGGGGAACGATCCACGCTTGGTCATCTGAAACATTTTACTTTTTAAATATATTTTTATTGATTTCAGAGAGGGAGGGAGAGGGAGAGAGATAGAAACATCAATGATGAGAGAGAATCATCAATTCACTGCCTCCTGCACGCCCCCTACTGGGGATCGAGCCCACAACCCGGGGCATGTGCCCTTGGCTGAACTCGAACCCGACACCCTTCAGTTTGCAGATCGACGCTCTACCCTCCCAGCCAAACCAGCCAGGGCTTCTGAGACATTCTAGAACCCGTGTTCCACCCAGACTCACGGCCTCGTGGTACCTGGGCCACGCCCTGGACGGTCCGGAGCAGGATGAACAGGGCCACACCGGCCCCCGCTGCCAGCGGGAGGAGGAGGCTCAGGGTGGAGAAGGCCAGCAGGGAGGCACCGATCAGGAGCCTGGGTCGGACTCGCCCGGCCACGTAACCACTGGGGACCGAGGCCACGAAGGAGCCGTAGCTGAGGGAGCTGAGGATGACGCCCTGGATCTCAGGGCTCCAGGCATACACGGGCGCCTGGGGGACAAGAACCCTGCTATTTATCCTTTGGCAAGAGAGAGAGAGATGAATATCTCTTTAAATATATTTATTGACTTCAGAGAGGAAGGGAGAGGGAGAGAGATAGAAACATCCTTGATGAGAGAGAATCATGGATCGGCTGCCTCCTGCACGCCCCCTTCTGGGGGATCCAGCCCACAACCCAGGCATGTGTCCTGACCAGGAATCGAACCTTGACCTCTTTAAGTGCATAGGTTGATGCTCAACCAGCGAGCCACACCAGCCGGACTCAATGCTGAACCCTTTAGCTCAGGCCATTGAGGCCACAGAAAGGGCCGAGTCTCATTAAGCATACCAGCACCTTTGGTTCCATCAGAGCGCCGTTCCCGTCGTCCAGGGCGACGGCGGAAGAGGCGTTGGGCGGGCCGGCCGGGGCCGTGCCGTTCACCATCGCCGGGAGGGCGATGCTCAGGTTCATTAGTTGGGTGGAAATCGCAAAGTTACAGAGATGCAGGAGGAGGGCGAGCCCGTGCCGGACCGAGCACACGCCTGCGAGGAGAGGGCGCAGAAGGCCTGTCACGGGGGCCGTTGCTCTCTGCACCCCCCTTCCAGGAGGGGGGGCAGTTGCAGGCGGCCTGTGAGCAGCCGCACAGGGAGAGCAGACGTTGCTGTGTCCCCCCCGGGAGGGGCAGGGGTCACACCCCCGCAGAACCAGGACCATAGGGGAGGGGAGGGGAGGGCCCGCCTGCGGTCACGCTGAGGCAGGCCTGGAGCGAACGGAGCAGACCCACTGCCCGGCCTCCTGGACGTAGGCTCGGCGCCGCCGAGGGCGGGTTCCACATCCTCTGTTTGGCATCCGCTCTGGCTTCCTGCTCCGGCGACAAATCACGCCGGGACACCTGCTTTATGTCCTTCGAGTTTATTGCACGACACGAAATCATTCTCCGTAAACATTCTTGGCACTTGCTACAGACGCCCAGAAAGGAGCCGCGGTCACCGGGCCCCGGTTTTACCCTCAGCGGCGCCCCGCCTTACCTTTGCTGGAGGCTGGCGCTGGGGCCGCGTCCCCGGCGCTGACCGTGGCTTCTGCTCCAGTGGACATGGCGTCCCTGCTCTCCCGGGGGCTGGGCTTCACCGGCGGGAATGAAAGGACACGCGAGCAAAGATGAAGAGCAGCATCCTACATGGTACAGGACCCTGCCCCAGTTCTCCTGGGAAGCGTTCGATGTTAAAACTTAATCTTATTTTATTTTATGTTTTTATTGATTTTGGAGATAGAGAGGGAGACAGAGAAACATCAATCACTGCCTCCTCAGGCCCCCTACCGGGGATGGAGCCCTCACACAGGCAGGTGTCCTGGCCCGACATTGACCCGGAGGCCTCTGTGTGCGCGGGACAGCCCAGCCCAGCCCACTGGCCACCAAGCGACAGGGCTTGGCAATCTCCTGCGAAATCTCACCCAGAAGATTCCAACGGATTAATGACCCGAAACACTGTTTTCAGTGTCTAGGTATCCTGAGTCCAAGGGAAGACACAGCGCTTTTCAACACTTTGCCCCGGGGACGGCCCCCCAGCGAGCTAGCTTTTCGGGGGCGCCGGCCGGGGGCTGCTGCTGTCAGAGGGGTTACTCGGGCTGACAGTTCCTGTGGGGCGGTCCCTGCGATAATGACCGGAGGGGGTCCTGGCAGGGGGTTCCCTGGAGTCCTGGGGCTCTCGCTCCTCGGGAAAAGGCCAGCTCTGCTCTCACTTTTCGGAATTATCTCCGGAGAGACAAGCTCCGCTCCCCACCCACAACCTGCGGACCTGGCCAAGCTGAGCTGCTCGCTGGAAGGCCCAGCCCGACGCAGAGGCCGAGCACCGAGGGCAGAAGACAGGGCTGACCTGAGGGCGGCAGAGCGCAGGGTCCTCCGGCCGCAAACGCGTCTCTCCGCTCCTCACCTCTCTGGCTCCCAGGGGTAAATGATTACCCCAAGCCTTTAGCCCTTCGGGGACAAAATGGGCAGATTTGACTGGCTCTGAGGTTTAATGTTTGACTTTGCTGCGTTCGTGTAATTAACAAGGTGACCAGGCTCATGGGATCTCCCTCCTGCCTCACGCCCAGGAGATCAAGGTCCCCTCTTATCGGACAGACGCTCTCCCCGCGGACGGACGGGGCGCCCCGGGTCAGGCCGCGCCCCGTGGGAACCGCACTGCCGCCGCCGGATAACGAGCAGCCCCGACGCCAGGGGCTGCGGTCGTCACTCGTCTTGCAACTAGTCTGCGCGGCCTCAAAGCCCATTATCCCAGCCGGACTAGTCCAGTGTCCTGTTGGGTTAGTTGTGGCCAATTAAGACTCCAGTCAGTTCCTTTAAAACATTTTTTATCGGTTTCACAGCGGAAGGAAAAGGGAGGCAAACATCAATGATGAAGACCGTTGATCGGCTGCCCCTGCACATACACCCCCCTCCCCTCCCCTCCCCTCCCCTCCGCACCCCACCCGGGATGGAGCCCGCAACCCGGGCACGTGCCCTTGACCCGGAACCAAACCCGAGGCCTTTCCGTCTGGGCCAGCCAGGGCTTGTCAGTCACCGTTTTGCTTCAGCTCCTTCTCAGACACTTGAGTGGCTCTGAAAAGAGCCTTTGGGTTTGAACGCTGCGATTCGCGCCTCACTTGCCCTTGGCCTTGTGGTGGCTCTCGGTCTTCTTGGGCAGCAGCACGGCCTGGATGTTGGGCAGCACGCCGCCCTGCGCGATGGTCACCTTGCCCAGCAGCTTGTTGAGCTCCTCGTCGTTGCGGATGGCCAGCTGCAGGTGGCGCGGCGCGATGCGGGACTTCCTGTTGTGGCGGGCCGCGTTGCCCGCCAGCTCCAGGATCTCGGCCGCCAGGTACTCCAGCACGGCCGCCAGGTACACGGGCGCGCCCGCGCCGATCCGCTCCGCGTAGTTGCCTTTATGCAACAGGCGATGCACACGTCCCACGGGGAACCGTAGCTGAGCCCTGAAAGAGCGAGATACGGTCTTGGCGCGAGACTTGCCATCCTGCTTTACCGGCACAGACATGGTGCTGAATATGTCCTGCGAGGAGAAGACACCCTCAGGGCAAATGCAGGGCCAATTTATAGTCCACCAGTAGGTTGTGACTTGCCATCTGATTGGCTGGCTGGCGGGCGTCTATCCAATCAGAGAGCATTACTGAAATCACTTCATTTGCATACACGTCACTACCATTATCCAATCAGATGGCGGCTGCCCAGCGGTCAGTTGAAGGCCACCCTATAAATACCAGGCTTTTGGCCACCAGCCGCCATTTCCTGACCCGTGTCAGTGGCAGTTGTGGAGCTGAGCACGCACCATGCCGGAGCTGGCTTCGAAGGGCGCCGCCATTTCCAAGAAGGGCTTCAAGAAAGCCGTTACCAAGACTCAGAAGAAAGAGGGCAAGAAGCGCAAGCGCAGCCGCAAGGAGAGCTACTCGATTTACATCTACAAGGTTCTCAAGCAGGTGCACCCCGACACCGGCATCTCGTCCAAGGCCATGAGCATCATGAACTCGTTCGTGAATGACATCTTCGAGCGCATCGCGGGCGAGGCGTCGCGCCTGGCGCACTACAACAAGCGCTCCACCATAACCTCTCGCGAGATCCAGACGGCCGTGCGCCTGCTGCTGCCTGGCGAGCTGGCCAAGCACGCCGTGTCCGAGGGCACCAAGGCCGTCACCAAGTACACCAGCTCCAAGTGAAAGGCTTTGGTTTAGCCGCTGTAGGTGACCTTCTAACCCAAAGGCTCTTTTAAGAGCCACTAACTATTCAGAAAAGGGCTGTGAGTGTTGTGCACTACACTCATGGCCAATTGATGTACTTTCCAATCCCAATGTCCCCAGAGGGCATTTAATTTACAATTGTCAATGACTGTTCCAATTTTCCAACACGCTCCTTCCAGGTAACATAGGTGGCTCTTAAACGAGCCTTTGTTGGTCCTTTTGTTTACTTGGAGCTGGTGTACTTGGTGACGGCCTTGGTGCCCTCGGACACGGCGTGCTTGGCCAGCTCGCCGGGCAGCAGCAGGCGCACGGCCGTCTGGATCTCGCGAGAGGTTATGGTGGAGCGCTGGTTGTATGTAGTGCGCCAGGCGCGACGCCTCAGCAGCGAGGCGCTCAAAAATGTCATTCACGAACGAGTTCATGATGCTCATGGCCTTGGACGAGATGCCGGTGTCGGGGTGCACCTGCTTGAGCACCTTGCACACGTAGATGGAGTAGCTCTCCTTGCGGCTGCGCTTACGCTTCTTGCCATTCTTCTTCTGAGTCTTGGTAACGGCTTTCTTGAAGCCCTTCTTGGAAATGGCGGCGCCCTTCGAAGCCAGCTCCGACATGGTGCGTGCTCAACCCCACAACTGCCACTGACACGGGTCAGGGAACGGCGGCTGGTGGCCAAAAGCCTGGTATTTATAGGGTGGCCTTCAACTGACCGCTGGGCAGCCGCCATCTGATTGGATAATGGTAGTGACGTGTATGCAAATGAAGTGATTTCAGTAATGCTCTCTGATTGCATAGACACCCGCTAGTCAGCCAATCAGATGGCAAGTCACAATCTACGGCAGACTATAAATAGGCCCTCTGTGGCGTGTTTTAGATTTCTAGTTGCTGCTGCTGCCATCTTAAGTTATGTCTGGGCGTGGCAAGCAGGGCGGCAAGGCTCGTGCCAAGGCCAGATCTCGCTCCTTCAGAGCCCAGCTGCAGTTCCCCGTGGGCCGCATCCACCGCCTGCTCCGCAAGGGCAACTATGCGGAGCGCATCGGGGCGGGCGCGCCCGTGTACCTGGCGGCCGTGCTGGAGTACCTGACGGCCGAGATCCTGGAGCTGGCGGGCAACGCGTCCCGCGACAACAAGAAGACGCGCATCATCCCGCGCCACCTGCAGCTGGCCATCCGCAACGACGAGGAGCTCAACAGGCTACTGAGCGGGGTGACCATCGCGCAGGGCGGCGTGCTGCCCAACATCCAACCGGTGCTGCTGCCCAAGAAGACCGAGAGCCACCACAAGGCCAAGGGCAAGTGAGGAGCCCAAACATCCAGAGAGAGAAACCAAAGGCTCTTTTCAGAGCCACGCAGGTCCTCAGTAAAGGCTGTACACAGCGTGAAAAGCTGGCTGCTGTCTTCTCTGGCGAGCGCCTTAGGGAAGCCTAGCGCTCCAGGGACCACCTCTAGTTCCGGTAACGGGCTCTTTAAAGCCCGGCCTGGGAAGCGGGTTCCGGTCCTAGAGTGCCTTTGGGGTTTGCTCTTAGGGGAGCCGCAAGCTTAGTAGTTAGGGAGCCCTAGGGAGAAGGAGCAGGCCTCGGCCCTCGGCGCTCTGACATGGCTCTGGCTTCCAGGCTAAGGATCCAACAAGCTGCGTGATTTCCGCAAAAGGAGCTCCCAGAAAGGGCTTCCCTCCAAGCGGGCTGCTAGTTCTCCGGAATCCGCAGACGGCGTAAGCCAGGCGTTAGCAAACCAGTCTCACCACCTGGTAAAGGGTCGTGTATTTGATAACTGACGTCACATGTGCTTAGTAAGTGGATTTTTCTTAAAGTGTGTCTCAAAAATGAGCTTGATGCCATATGTGATGGGATCTAGTGTTATTCTTAGAGATTGGATTGGGGCAAGTTCTTCCATAATGACTTTTTGAAATTATTAGGGAATTTTGGTTTTTTCCAGAAGTTTACAAAGAGACATTTTTAGTTTGTTTCCACTGCAAATACCAAGTCAATTTGGAAAGTAAATGAACACTTAGGATGTCGAATTCAAAATTACTGTACAGCTTTCAAGTTTCACTTATCTCCAAGAAAAAACAATCTAATTGGTATCTAAAACAAAATTGCTGGACATTTAAGTTTTACATAGACATGTATAGAAGCAGGTGTGAAGAATCGTTTAAAGTCCCATAAGTTTAAAGAGAATAAACTATAATATATTAACTAGGGACAATCAAGTATGAAATTATCTCTTGAATTAATGTACATAAGTACTAAGGCACACAATTGGGGGAGGCACAAAGGAAGGAAAATTTTTGAAGACAAAACTTAGATGTTTAGAACATTGCCAATAACTTTAACATGCAACATTTTAAAACCAGAATAATGATGTAAATGATTGAATGGGGATGTGAAAATTTTCCTAAACAAGAATTTCAAAAATGTCACCTATGCTCCCCACCAAGCAAGTGTAGCTTAACTCCCAGACTTGCTGAAGCACAGAATGTGGACAGGGAGGAGGGCGTGACTTCACAATAGAGAAATCTGGAAAGCACCACCTCCGCCCGATGGTTAGGGTTAACAGGTTCAAACTTGAAAGGTAAACCAGCTCTGTCTGGCATAGCTCAGTGGGTTGAGCACCCACCGGTCACTGGTTCGATTCTGATAAGAACACACGTGCCCTGGTTGCCCAGAAGGGGGTGTGCAGGAGGCAGCCAGTGGCTGTTTCTCTCTCCCTCTCCCCTACACAAAAAAAAAAAAAAAAAAAAAAAATTAAGTTAGACAAGAGTTATTGCACAGCTAATGAGTTTATTCGGGAAGAGCAGAGGAACTGAAGTTGTGGACAAGCCAAGCATGCAGCTCCAGGCCAGTCTGAGGACCAAGGAGAAAGGAGAGGGTGGGAGAGAGAATGACGTTCCTCACTGGCCCTGAATCCACTCAGACTGCTGTCCTTGTGAGGTTGTTTATACACAATCTCCCCAAAAGGTCCTGACGAGCTCATTCTTTATTCCGACTTTGCACGGCGTGTAGAGGAGGAAAATCGCACAGCTCGTGAGGTGGCAGGACACACGGGAACCCGCTTACTCGGGGCGGGATGTTGCGGGCAGGGGCTGGGGTGCGTCTCTTGGTCTTGTAAAGAGTCGACCTGAATCAAATCTCAACTATATATATTTACTGATTTCAGAGAGGAAGGGAGAGGGAAAGAGAAATATCTATAATGAGAGGGAATCATGGGTCAGCTGCCTCCTGCACACCCCCCAATGGGAATGGAGTCCACAACCCAGGCCTGTGCCCTGACTCGGAATCGAACCCTGACCTCCTGGTTCCTAGGTCGACACTCAACCCCTGAGCCAGGCCGGCCGGGGCTGAAGTCCCTCCTGGTGCCACACTCAGGGCTCCCGAGAACAGGAAGGACGCCTGTTCCCACCTGGGTCTTGCCCCCGCCCTCTCCTCCCCCTGAGTTAGAGGAGCTGTGGGCTGTCAAACCATCAGACAGACACGGCCAGGGTCACCACACACACACAGTCAGCAGCGCATGTCCCTTTGCAGCTGCAGGTTTATTTCCAGGTCAGAGTCGCGTGGCAGACAGCACAGCGGGTACGGCGGGCAGACGAGGCAGAAGGTCATGGGAGGGCACAGAGCACAGCAGGGTGGGTACTCTGCCCGCCCCATCACTGCAGATGGGGGGGAGGGGAATGAGAGGGTTCGCGGAGGCTTGGGGTGGGGGAAGCCTGAGGTCAAAGGGAAGGGGACACAGAGCCTGCAGGGGGAGGGGCTTTGAAAAGCACCGAGTCCTGCCGGGACCGGTTTGGCTCAGTGGATAGAGCGTCGGCCTGCGGACTGAAAGGTCCCGGGTTCGATTCCGGTCAAGGGCATGTACCTTGGTTGCGGGCACATCCCCAGTGGGGGGTGTGCAAGAGGCAACTGGTCGGTGTTTCTCATCGACGTTTCTAACTCTCTGTCCCTCTCAATTCCTCTCTGTGTAAAATCAATAAAATATATTTTTAATAAAAAATAAAAAGAAAAAAAAAAGAAAAGCACCGAGTCCTTAGCGATAGGGACCCACGTCTTTCATCGCAAATCCCACGCCGTCTGCTACCGTATTTTCCGGCGTATAAGACGACCCCCTAACTTTACAGTTAAAACATAGGCTCAGGCCTATATTCGCTGTATAAGACGACCCCCCACTTCTGAGGCAACACCAGTTCTTTTTTTAATAGACCACCCCTCTGACTCTGGCCAATCTGAGCAGGCTTTTTAATAAACACAGTATAGGTTCGGGTACAGAACATGTACACTGTGTTCTAGTAAAAAGCCTGCTCAGATTGGCCAGTCAGAGAGGCGGTCTATTAAAAAAAGAACTGGTGTTATACAGCGAATATAGGCCTAAACCTATGTTTTCACTGTAAAATATATATATATATATATATATATATATATATATATATATATATATATATATATATTAGGGGGTCGTCTTATACGCCAGAAAATACTGTACGTGTTCACTCGAGGCGCCCCCGACCCGCAAAGCACAGAGACCCAGACACACACCAGGCGCCGAGCAGAGCCGCCTGCGGGTCGGGGGCTGCTTCTCAGCCGGAGACAGAGCCAGCTCCGACTTCTGGATCTTCCGGCCCCGTCGGCGTCGCAGGGACGCGGACGGCTCTCGGGGTCGACGCCACGGATGCCGGGCCGAGGACAGAAAGGACCCGTCCGCAGGCAAGACGGTGGCTGCTCCGGTCCCTGCGGCTCACAAGTATGGGGGACCCCCCCCCCCCGCTCCAGAGAGGCCCCCACGGGAGCCACGCCCCTCTTCACCCCGACAGGGTGGCCGAGGACAGCTCCTCCCTCAGCAGGTCCCCCGAGGCCAGAGAACTGTCCGCAGGGCAGAGCCGCCTTCGCCCGCCCCCGTGGCTCCCTGGCTGAGCGTCGACCTGGGAACCAGGGTGTCAGGGTGTGCGGGCTCAGCCCACGGCGATGGCTGCCGCGGGTCATTATTGACGGACAAAGCAGATACCACGTCGGGGAGCCCGGGCCTCTCGGCTGGTTGGGGGGGGGGGGGGCAGTGTCTTTGTGAAAGTCAGTCAGTTCCTCCTCGCTCTGCGAGGGGCCTCCGCAGCAAGTCCCTCGGCAACACTGAGCACGGTTAGGGGAGGCCATTGCCCCCCTCAATATGCGTGACGTTTATGACTGTGCAGACACATGGTCTCCCTCCCTCTCTCTCTCTCTCTCTCTCTCTCTCTCTCTCTCTCACACACACACACACACACACATCGGGAAAGTGGGGCTTAGCCCCGCCCCAAACTCTCTGGCATCCCCAGGTGGCCGGTGCGGGCCCTGCGGTGACTTTGGGAGACATCCTTCCTTTCTCCGCGGGGAGAGACCAGGGGCGGCCCGGGTGCCGCTCACCTTGGGGGCCAGGGGCTGCCAGACCCTCAGGAAGCCCACAGCGTCCCAGCCACAGGGACCCCCCGCGCTGTCCGTGGTGCTGACGGCGAGCGCAACCCGGGAGCGACCGGAACCTGGGTCCGACTGACTCCTGGCTCCTGCCCTCCCCCGCCGGCTCCTGCCTCCCTCCCCCCCCCCCCCCCCACCGCACCAGCTCCTGCCTCCCCCCCCGCACCAGCTCCTGCCTCCCCCCGCACCGGCTTCTGCCCTCTCAGACCTTCTCTGAGGCTTGAGTCTGCAGCTGGCGAGGGGCTGTCGCCCTGGTGTCGCTCAGCGGTCCCCAGGCCCGGCCCCTGCCAGGGGACAGCTGCCTGGAGCCTGTCCATCTGAGGCCCCGCCTTCCCGGTCCTCTCCCCCTCCCTGCCCCCTCCCGGTCCCCTCCCACCCACCGGGAGCCCTGGGCGCTGGGGCCGGCACTCTCCACGGTCCCCGCCTTCACCCTTAAACTTCTCACACTCACAGAAAGCACCCCCTTCCATTGGACTCACTTCCAAACTTGTCTCTTGGTTTTTTTTTGTTTTTAATATAATTTTATTGATTTCGGAGGAAGGGAGAGGGGGAGAAACATCAATGGTGAGAGAATCACGGACCGGCTGCCTCCTGCACGCCCCGCACTGGGGACCGAGCCCACAGCCCGGGCCTGTGCCCTGCCCGGGAATCGAACCCTGACGTTCTGGTTCATGCTGGCCTGGCTCAGGTTTCCTAGAGGGAGCTCCCCAGTGAGAGGGCTGGAGGAGGTGCCGGTGTCAGGGCCCCTGGACCTGATTCAGCCGTTTAGAGGCAGGATCTGCAGGAGCCGGAGCCCCTTGGGGGTGAGAGGTTGTCCCCGTTGGAATGGGGTGCTGGGGCTGGGGAGGGGGAAGGGGGGTGATTAACCAGAAAACTCGGAGCACAGCAAACACCACGCAGCTGAAGTCAACCCGAGGCCGCGTGTGCTTCACGTGGCTCCCTCCACGGAGACCCTGCGGGCGTGGCTGGAGCGAGGCCGTGGCGCTGAGGGTTTTAAAGCTTCCCTGGGTGACAGTGCAGCCACCGCCCAGCAGCTCCAACCCCCACTGAGAGGGGCTAAGCGAAGCAAAGAGAAACGTATCGGAAACCGAGTTCAGAGTAAGGACGGTAAAGACGCCAACAGCGAAGGTGTGGTGACTGCGAAGACAGGAAGAACGGCAGCACAGATAAAGGACACCCGGAAGGAGCCCACAGCAGATCCGGGGGAGCTGAGGGGCGGATCTGTTAGAAGGGAAGGTTGAAAAAACTCAGAGAACCAAAAAGAAAAAACCATTAGGATGTCTGCATCTTTGTACAAAGTCAGAAAGGTGTTTCCAGCTGGGTCTGCATACAAGGCTTCCTCTGGCATCACCCCCCAATAGCTACCTGGGGACCCCTCCGGACCGTACAGCGCCCCTTGGAGTTAGAGGGTCGTCTCACTGGAGCGCCGGCCGGTTCCCAAGGACGGAGGAAGTAGACGAAAAGAAATTGGACAGGATTTGTCATAAAAAAAAATTACTGGAATTAGAGTGAACGCTTTAAAAAAAATTATATATATATATATATAATCATTTCTTTTGTAACCACATGGATACAAAAGATCACTTAAATCATGTAGATCAGGAAATGAGAAAAGGAAGCCCCCCCACCCCATGATCTCACCCCCAGAGGTAACGGAGGACAGTGGCTCGCTGGTGTGCGTCCTCCAGGGGTGTTTACAGGCACCAACATGGGATCACACGCTAACGCCCTTCCATTTAACAGGCAAACCCCTCGGGTCACGTCCTGGTTCACACTCGCATCCCACGTGTGACCAGGACTCCTCCCCGGGGTGAGAGCAGGTGACGGGTACGATCCGTGGGCGCTGAATTGAGAGCCTGGGAACGGATGCTCCTGGACTTTGGACCCAAACACGACGTTCGTCACCACAAGCCAAATGCAACAAACGCCACGGCAGCGGTGCGGCCCTGGTAAAATCATTTATTGGTATAAATACGCTTCATAAAATACCGCCCGCGTGTCGGGGAAGTGTCTGTGCGACGTGTCGTAGAAAGAGTAGTATTTTTTTATTTGTTTGCCGGTCTCTTAAATTCTCTCTTAAAATTACACATTCAAAGCTCATATGCAGACAGAAATTAAAGAAATTTTTAAAAAACAAACATCTCCGTAAACCCTCATTCCAGTCCACTGTGCACCTCTACCCGGGCACGTGGGGAGGCAGCCGTGGCCTCTGGCCCAGTCCCCACCGCGCCTGCCGGTGGGAGGGCCCAGGCCGCTGACGGGGGGATGGAGACGCCATCCTGACTCAGCACATACATCTACACGGAGGGCTCGCTAGCGTGCCGTCATGACTACAAGTGCAGCTGCTACAGCGAGTTAGCCCCTCCGGGGGGCAGGGGCCGTCTGACACAGGCCTGGGCGGAGGGCCCATGGCCCCGACGGTGCCCCTGTGGGAGCGCGCCCAGCGACCGGGCCCTCCCCACCTCCTCCCACAGGGCAGCGGAACCGCCTCGGAGAAATTCAAGTATGGCCGCGGCACCGGCTGGCACCGGTGAAGGCACAGGCAGAACGCCAGCGCCGGGAGAAGCCCGAGCACGTGTGCTGATCACCAAGAAGTGGGTCTGCTTCTGGTTCCATGGAAAGGGCAGAGCAGAGAAAGCAGCACCGAGACGAGGCCGAGGAGAGACGAGGCCGAGGAGAGACGAGGCCGAGGAGGCGGGGGTGGCCCTGGTGCCTCTCGGTGGCCGCCAGGCGCCTGCCCGGACGTCTGGGGCCGTGACCTTCACACGAAGATGAACTCCTTCTCGGCATCCTCCCCCGAGTCGCTGGACTTGCTGCCCTGCCGGCCGTCCTTGCTGGGGGACCACGGCTTCTGGTCCTGGAACTCCTGGGGCTGCGGGCCCCAGCTTCTCCTCCAAACTGAAACAGAAGGGGGGGGAGGGGGCTCGTCACTGATTCACCAACACGCCGGCCGCCAGCCGCGGCGAGGCCGGCCCGTGGGGAGGACACGTTCCAGAGACACGCAGCGCCACGTCGGGGCTCAGACAGAGACAGCCCAGCAACGACAGGTGTGTCGAAGCAGAAAACACACAACGCCAGCCTGTGAGGGGACCCTCGGGGCAGGGCTGTGGTGGAGAATCGGGCGAGAAACCCACACGGAGGAGGGCGGGAGGGAAAGGGGTGCCTGAGAGGAGGTGACCACGTCACCCCGCCACAGGTACCCCCACAGCAGACCGGGGGGACCGGGCAGGCAGCTCGGGTACCAGAACTCGTGACTCCTCACCGACAGGAGGCCCTGGGCCTGGCAGAGGACGATGGAGGCGGAGGCTGGAGCCGCCGTCACTGCTCCTCGCATGTCACCGCGCTCCTTGCGGCCACCAAAGGCAGGCTTTGTGAAACGGGAGCAGGACTCACCACCACCTCTCCAGAGCCGCCCGTCCCCCTCGGTCAGCGGCCTGGGCTGTCCCTGGGAAGGCTCAGGGGGCCCCGGGTGTGGCCGCACAGGTCACAGGCGGCTAACTGTGACTCACAGCCTCCATGCAGAGGCCACTTCGGCCAGGGCCACACCCACACGCTGTGCGCAGCCGCCTCACAGGCCACGGGCCACGGGCCACGGGCCACGGGCCACGGGCCACAGGCAGCCAGGGCGCGGCCGCGGGCAAGCCCTCGGGTGCTTGGATCACTTCCCGTCACTGATGCAGCCGGGCTCGTCCCCACGGAACCGGCTGCTGAAGCGTTGGACCACCACCGAGCGGGCGCCTCAGAGGCGACGCTCAGGAGACCATTCTTGGACTCAAACACAAACAAGCCTTCTCTGTGCCCTGGCGGCATCCGCATTTTCCTTTTTACATAAAATAACTTTTAAAAAGAAAAAGGGGAAGGGTAAGAAGTACAAATTGGCCCAGTTGGGCAGGTCAGTGGTCGAGTGTTGACCCAGGAAGTCACAGTTTGATTCCCGGTCAGGGCACAGGCCCCGGCTGCTGGCTCCATCCCCAGTGTGGGACGTGCAAGAGGCAGCCGATCCATGATTCCCTCTCAGCATTGATGTTTCTCTCCCCCAGAAATAAATTAAAAACAAAACAAAAAAACAATAGTTTCTATTAAGTACAAGAACATTTTACATAAATGTTAAAGGCACACTTTAACTACCCATTGCATTTTGGAGTTATTTATTACATGTTCCTCCAACCTAATATCTTAAAGTTTGATACTTGGTAAAACACTGTGTGACATGAATCGAGAATCCCGTGATCCGTCCGCAATGTGTTAAACAGATACACGGTCTCTCTGAGTCAGGAGGCCGTGCGGCCATCACAGGCCATCCGAAGCCAAAACCAGCGATTTCTTCCAGAAAAAGGAACGCGCGCTGACAGGACACCGCAGCGCACAGCGAAAGGAAGAGGGGACACGTATGAAATTCAAAAGGCGCAGCAACAAACACTCCCCGTGAGAGCAAGCAGGCAGCCGGCCGGCCCATCGACGCGCAGACGGCCACACAATGAGCACACGACAGTGACGCCGCCGGCAGCGTGCTTTCAGAACCTCGGCCTGTGTCATGGTCACGGGGCCGAGGAGGGGAGGAGTCCGTTTCAGAAGACTTAGAGGATGCAAACCACCGGCAGAACTGCTCTGCCGATCGGGACTGGTTAAGTCAGACACCGTTCCGAAAGCAGACTGCCAGGCAGCACTCAGGGCACACAGTCGAGGGCTAGGAACTGGCACTAACACAGCGACATTGAAACATGCGTGAAGTTACTTTAATTGGAGGCCCTGTAAAAATTTCCCTTTGCTCTTCCCACCAGTATTTCAAGAAACCAAGGCAAAAAGCAAATACAAGATGGTCCCATTTAATCCCATCAAAATGAGAATTTTAAACCGGAGAAGTCACGGGGGACATCTGAGACAGACACAGACTCCTGCCTTTCTGGGGCTGGCTTCTCTCTGCCTGCCTCCTCTTTTCATCCCAAGTCAAGGGGTGATCAGTGTGGCAAGAGGGGGGAGCAGGGGGGTATGAAAGGAGGGGGGCGGGGGTGTCTCTGGGTCTGTGTTGTCTGAGTGCATTTAGTGGCCGCCAACTGAAGTCTGAATAGGGAACATCGCATTGGATCAAAGGAGCTTTGCTAATGAAGTGACATTCGATGGTTACCACAGTTCAAATGCAAATTTCCAAAACCTGGAAACATCTGGGACCGTGGGTGTCCTTATCAAAAAAAGGACAATAGAGAGATTTCATATGCTCCCAAAAAAGCTCTGCCTCGCCCTGGCCGGTGTGGGTCAGTGGAGAGAGTGTCAGCCTGTGGACTGTAAGGTCCCAGGTTCGATTCTGGCGAAGGGCACATGCCCCGGGGAGAGGGGTGGCGGGCTGGACGCCCAGCAGGAGAGCCAATCAATGGTTCTTAAATCTTGTAAATCAACGCTTTTGCCCCAGATGGGAGGACCATCCCGTTGCCTTTCGGGGAAAAATAAAAAGTCAGCTGTGCGAACCACGGGGTTCCTGACGGAAGTGGTTAGTGCCGGTTCTAGCCTCGGGCCCGAGGGTGACGCAGGGGGCTCTACCCGCTGTTGGCTGCGGCTTCCGGTGCCCAGCTGCCTTCGCCGCCTCCTCCGCGAGCACAGGGCCCCGCTTGGCCGGCCGCCTCCCTCCACCGGCAGGCCTGCCCCCGTCCCGGTCGCCTCGTGGAGCTGAGGAAAAGGGAGCGTTTCACCCGACCGCAGCACACACGGCCGCGTGGCGACACCACGGCCCCGCGCACGGACGTTCCCGATGGAGCGGCAGCTCGCCGCCCCTTTGGACTCACGGGCCCGCGTCTCGCCGGTGCTGGTCGGCGGCCGTTTCCCACAGAACCCAACAGCCACACGATGGACGTGGGCAGCCCCTGCACGCGAGGGAGCTCAGCCCCAAGTCTGCCCCACCGGTGCCAACACAGATCCCCCATGTGACCCTCTGACCAGATGGATGAACGAGTCACATTCGCGATGGAAGGGCCCGAGAACCGCGGCCGTTCACCTGCCCAGAAAGGTCGGGACGCGCTAGTCCGGGAGCAGAGCGAGGGAACGAGGGCAGCGTGAGCAGCGCAAGGAGCCAGGATGGAGCGCTCCGCAGGCTCTTAGAGGAAAAGGAAGTTGGCCCGGCTCAGGGCTCGGGGCTCGGGGGCTCAGGGCTCGGGGGCTCGGGGCTCGGGGCTCAGGGGTGGGCGGTGGACGAGGCTGGCTCAGGGCTCGGGGCTCGGGCTCGGGGCTCGGGGGCTCGGGGCTCGGGCTCGGGCTCGGGGCTCGGGGCTCGGGCTCGGGGGCTCGGGGGCTCGGGGCTCGGGGCTCGGGGCTCGGGGCTCGGGCTCGGGGCTCGGGGGCTCGGGGGCTCGGGGGCTCGGGGCTCAGGGGCTCGGGGCTCAGGGCTCAGGGCTCAGGGCTCAGGGCTTAGGGGCTCGGGGCTCGGGGCTCAGGGGCTCGGGGCTCGGGGCTCGGGGCTCGGGGCTCGGGCTCGGGGCTCGGGGGCTCGGGGGCTCAGGGGCTCGGGGCTCAGGGGCTCGGGGCTCAGGGCTCAGGGCTCAGGGCTCAGGGCTTAGGGGCTCGGGGCTCGGGGCTCAGGGGCTTGGGGCTCGGGGCTCAGGGGCTCAGGGGCTCGGGGCTCGGGGCTCAGGGGCTCGGGGCTCGGGGCTCAGGGGCTCAGGGGCTCGGGGCTCGGGGCTCAGGGGCTCGGGGCTCGGGGCTCAGGGGCTCAGGGGCTCGGGGCTCGGGGCTCAGGGCAGTGGACAGGACCCGCCCGCCCAGCACCTCGGACAGTGCACGCTGTGCTCGACCTCACGCCTGTCCGCGGCCGCGCCAACCCCCAGGGCTGCTGTGGTGAGGATCCCGGGCCCACTGGCTGGACCCACGCAGGGGAGTGACGGTCTCCGGGCTTCTCCTGGGGGAGGCGGGCCCCGCCCTAACGCTCCCTCAGGAGGAGGGCGGGGAATCGGCGCCACCAGAGGCCTCGAAGGGGTGACAGCACTCGTGCGTCTCAGCTTCTCGGGGGAGAAGGTGACTGTCCAACCAGAGAGGCTCCGGCCTCGCTCTCTCACGGAGCTGCCCTCAAACTCGCGGCCTCATTTCAGTCATGTGACAGCCTGGCTGGCGTGGTCAGTGGCTGAGCATTGACCTATGAACCCAACACGGTCTACTGCCCGGTGAGGGCGCCAGGCGAGGAGCACGGGGCGAGTGCTACAGACCCGAGGCCTCCAGGCCGCCGTCTCAGCGGAGGGGGGAGGTGTCTCTCTCCATCCCGACCTCCATCCTGACCCTGTGACCTCCATCCCGACCTCCATCCTGACCCCATGACCTCAATCCTGACCCTGTGACCGCCAGCCAAATCCCAGTGACCTCCATCCGGATCCCGGGCCGTCAATAATGCGGACTTGAGGTCCCAGTGTTTAACCCAAGGGACGCTGATGTCAACTCCAATTCTCCTGAGGGGGGCGCCAGGGAGAACTGGGCTGGGACAAGCGTGCCTACCTTCCTGGGAGAACGTCCTGGGGCTGGGGCTGGGCTGGGGGCTGCCCTGGCCTTCCCTCTCCTTGTCCGCGGGCACCTTCCTCAGGACGGGCGGGAGCAGAGCGGCCCTGGGGGAGCCGAGGCCGGACGGGGAGTCCGAGGCGTCCTCTGTGGAGACACAAGCTCCGGGGTCACGCGGCTCCGCAGCCGATCCCTCAGACGGAGCGGCGGGTTCTCTGCACACAAGGCACATCCTCCAAGGGCATCACGGACTTTTCTGACTGAGCTCCAAGCCCCGGGCCAGCAGGCACACCGGGTGTGTGCGGGGCACTGACCAACAGGCCAGCCCGGCCTGCGGGGCGCAGGGGGTGAGCGTCCACTTAGGAGCTGGGAGGTCAGGGTTCGATTCCCGGTCAGGGCATAGGCCCGGGCTGTGGGCTCGATCCCCAGTGTGGGCGAGCAGGAGGCAGCCGATCCATGCTTCTCTCTCATCACTGATGTTTCTCTCTCTCCCTCTCCCTTCCTCTCTGAATAATACATTTAAAAACCCGGCCCAGGTTCGCCACTCCCTGCCCTGAACCCCAAACACGGTACAGCAAGGGGCCCTCCCTCCAGCCTCTGCCATGTGGGCCCTGCCCCTGGAGGCAGGGCCAGATGCCTCCTCCGTCCCTCGTGTGCCTGCAGCCGGACGAGGAGTCCCGGAGGCGCTGGCCAGAGGCCTGCCTGCCGGCCACTTCCCCAGCCTCCAGCCCTTTGGTCACGGCCCGACGACCCCGAGCCCACGCTCACCGCCCCGCCGAGCGCTCACCTGCCCGCGAGGGCGCCCGGGGCCTCTGCGGGAGGGCGGGCCGCGCCGCCGGGCTGGGCTTGGGCGACTGCAGGGCGGGCTTGGTGCTGGAGGCGCTCCGGCCCCGGAGGCCGGCGTCCACCCGGGGCTCCGCCCTGGCGCTCCTCCCCGGGGAGCCCGGGAGCGCGGGGGGCAGCTTCGGCCCTGGAGCGAGAACGAGTACAAAAGGCAGCTTTAAGCTCAAAGGGAGCCCAGCTGGTGGGGCTCAGCGGTTGAGCGTTGACCTATGAACCAGGAGGTCACAGTTCTATTCCTGGTCGGGGTACATGCCTGGGTTTCGGGCTCCATCCCTAGCCGGGGGCGTGCAGGAGGCAGCCGATCTGTGATTCTCATCATTGATGTTTCTCTCTCTCCCTCTCCCTTCCTCTCTCTGAAAGGAATAAAAATATTTTTTAAAAAATAAAAATATCAGCATGTCGCTAACTGTCCCCTCCTCTTCCCTCCCCTCCCCTGCCCCCCGCCAACGTCCATAGTTTATAAGTTCTTCTCAACGAACTGTCTTCCCTTTGGGGATGGGAAAAGGTACCCTATTTGGGACAAGGCCATGGGGTGTGGCCGTGCCCCAGGTGCGCTGGGCAGAAGGAGGAGGAGGAGGGAAGGCTGAGGACAGGAAACACAGAGGCCACTCTTGCCCTGCCCCCATCTGTTTTCCTCCTGTCAATCACCTGTGACTCGGGACAGCAGGGGTTTCCCTAAGTACAGGGGAGGGGGGGGCACCTCCTGACTCACCTGCACCGCCTCCGTCCGGCTGCTCCGTGCTGGTGCTTGTGGCCGGGCTGGGTGGGTCCTGGGAGGCTGCATCGTTCCCGAGCTTCTGAAAAACCCAGGCACCCCCGAGAGCGGCTCATTACCGTGTGAGAGGAGCAGAGCAGACAGTGCGACAACGACAACAGAGAACGGCTGTGCTGTCAGTCCTCCCCGGGGCGTTCTCCACGGGTGTTCAGAGGGAGCAGCAGAGAGAGAGACATCCATGTGAGAGAAACACAGATTGGCTGCCTCCTGCAGAGCCCTCACCAGGGCCAGGGAGCAGCCCGTAACCCAGGTCCTTGCCCAGAATCAAACCGGGACCCTTCGGTGCACAGGCCGACGCTCTATCCACTGAGTCGAACTGGCCAGGGCGAGTGGCTCTCAGCTCCTCCCTGGCTGAGCAGCGGCGTGATCTGCCGCCCACAGCCCCCGCCTGGGGCCTGGCGCTGCCGGTGGACAGGACCCGCTCCAAGCTGGGGTCGGAACAGCGAGTCTTAGGGGCGGTGCCAGCCTCTCCCACGGGAACACCCCAGAGAGAAGAGGTCAGGGCAGAGCCGCGGACGCAGGTGTGGCGCGTCAGCGGCAGACAGTAAGCAGCAGGAATGCATTAGAAACAAACCCCGGGCCCGGCCAGTGTGGGTCAGTGGATAGAGCGTCAGTCAGCCTGCGGGCGGAAGGGCCCCGGGTTCGATTCCGGTCAAGGGCACGTGCCCAGGTCAGGGGGTGCCCAGGTCAGGGGGTGCTGGGAGGTAACCAATCAGTCTTTCTCAAGTCACTGTTTCTCTAACTCTTCCCTCTCCCTTCCTCCCACTCTCTATAAAAATCAGGGAAAATGCCCTCGGGCGAGGATTAACAACAAGAAACACAAAAGCCCTCAGACTTCGTGTGGAAGGCATCCGACGGCGAGGACAGGAAGGTGAGACGCCGCTGCCCGGGCAGCACCTGTGCCAGCCAGTGGCCACCAGGGGGCCCAGGAGAGGCCAGGCCCCGGAGCACAGGGCTCCGGTCGCCCTCCGGCCTCCGCGGTGACAGAGCGGCGTCCTCACCGCACGGCTCTAAGTCCACACCCTCACAGGGGGCGGTGTGGCAGCGTGGCCGTGGGGAAGCCCCCATTCCATTGTTGTAACGGAGCCGCGCTCACAGCTTCACCCCTCAGCACACACCCCTCGTTACCAGCACTCCGCGGCACACCGAAAACGGTTACTCTGTGCCGATCGGACCAGAAAGAGCAACCGGTGTAATTCCTACCCATCCCCCCGGGCGGTTACTGTTGCTGGCTGTTGTCGTGGTTTATGTGACCGTCTCGGGGTGGGGGGAGGGCAGTGCCCCCGACGAGTCAGGATCACCTGTCACAGAGGTTCTCGCGCCCATCGTAGGAGAGGGAATCCCCAGCTGGCTCAAGTTTTTAACACTTGGTTTCTATCGTTGCTTTACATATTTTTATATATCTTTTTAATATGTCCTTATTGATTTCAGAGAGAAAGGGAGAGGGACAGATAAACACATTAATGCACACTGGGGCCTGAGCTTGAAACCCAGGCATGTGCCCTGGCCAGGAATCGAACCTGGGACCCTTCAGTCTGCAGGCCTACACACTACCCACTGAGCCCCGGCTAGAGCTTGTTGTTATAGTAAATGGACACTAGGTGGCGCTGAGAGACCACGGGCATGAACCTGGCGGCACTACCACCAACCCAGGAGAATTTGTCCCAAAGCACCGGGAGGAAGGCCTGGGGCCCTCTGCCCCCCCACCCCCAGGCGCTGCTCTTCAGCGGGAGCTGACCCAGCAGCGCCTGGTGCACACAGCCTGCTCCCCGTCCAAGGCTCGGAGCCCATGAACTCCACACCCTAAGGACGGGGGAGGTGGGAGGGACCTGTAACCAGGAAACTGCCAGGTTACCAAGGTGCCCGTGAGCACCCGTGAGACCACATGGGTGAACACACGACCAAGTAGCAATGCCAGGCCAGTGTAGCTCAGAGGTTGAGTATCGACCTCTGAACCAGGAGGTCACGTGCCTGAGTTGCAGGCTCCATCCCCAGAGGGGGCCATGCAGGTGACAGCCGATCGATGATTCTTTCTCATCTCTCTCCCTTCCTCTCTGGAATCACTGAAAATATATATATATTTTTAAAGAAAACCTGCCCGGGTGTGGAGTCCCCTAAGCAGCCCCGGTCCTGCAGGAACCCAAGGCTCCTGGGAGGAGCAGATCTAGCCTCCTCCTCCACAGAAAGGCGGGGTGCAATCCCCCGTCTTTGGAGAACCCTGTTCTGCAAACTTCGAAGCGCCCAGGGAGACCCACAGAAGCCACGGCCACGTTAAGCGTGGCCTGTGGCTCCTGGCCACGAGGGCCCAGCCTCTCAGGAGCTGCAGGAGGAAACAGGCAGTCAGGGGGTTGGAGCGTGAATGACACATCGAGTCTGCTGGGGGCTCAGCAATGCTTAGACCGTGACGCCCTTTTCTCCACAGCGTCCGACCACACGCGGCCCAGGAGTCCACTAATTCTAACAGGACACCTTGGCTCTCTTCCCCTTTGACTTTTAAATCTGGAATATCCCCAGGAAGGCTCTGGTCTGGAAAAGGGGACAACGTGGGACCTCAGTGAAACATTAGGATCTGCATTTCCACGATGAGACTGGCTTCAGCCGCCACGTGGCCGCGAGGATGGAGCGTCAGCTGCAATGGAACCTCCACCGCCGACCGGGGCTGCGGCTCTCCCCGGGGACAAAACCCAGCGACGGCGAGTCCGTGGCTCACCTTGTGCGCGCCGGCCGCTCGCCGCCCCTGCTTGGCCTTCATCTCAGCCAGCAGGCCGCTGCCCATCACCTGGACGCCGTACCGCCGGCCGCCCTGGGGGCTGCCCCTGCCGTCGCCGGGCTCCGGCCGCCCCGCGTCCTCCCCGTCCTCCGGGGGCTCGGGCGTCTGCGCCTCCTCTGTCTGCTCGGAGCTGCCGTTGTGCTCGGCCGGCCTCGCTTCCCGCCGGGGCGTGTCCACTGGACCTTTGGGCGAGGACGGCTCGTCCGCCATCAAGACCGTGGGTGGCCGCTCGGCCTTGGGCCGGGGCTTGATTAGGTTGAGGAAGCCGCTCCTCCGAGATTCTCTCTTCTTCTTCTCATCACCCCCGTCGCCGAGGTCCTGGGCCTCGGGGCCTCTGGCCGATGACCTCCTGGGACACAGGGGAAGGCACCCTGCTGGCGTCACTGCAATCCATGGTCCAGCAGGAACCAGTCAAAACACAGACAGGGGCCCGGCGGGCATGGCTCAGGGCTGAGCGTCGACCTATGAGCCAGGAGGCCAGGGTTCGATTCCCGTCAGGGTACAGGCCGGGGTTGCAGGCTCCATCCCGTGTGGGGTGCACAGGAGGCAGCCCATCAGTGATGCTCTCTCATCATAGATGTTTCCCTCTCTCTCTCCCTCTCTTCCGCTCTGACATCAGGACAAACAAATTTAAAAACAAAACCAGCCGAAACCAGTTTGGCTCAGTGGATAGAGCGTCGGTCTGCGGACTGAAAGGTCCCAGGTTTGATGCCGGTCAAGGGCATGTACCTTGGTTGCGGCCACATCCCCAGTAGGGGGTGTGCAGGAGGCAGCTGATCGGTGATTCTCTCTCATCTATATTTCTCTCTATCCCTCTCTCTTCCTCTCTGTAAAAAAATCAATAAAATTTTTTTTAAAAGCAGGTCTGGGGGTGAGGCCAGGAGTTTGCATCTCTAACACGCTCCCAGCTGAGGGCCATGTTGCTGGCCTGCAGATGACACCTGCAAACCCTCAGAACCGTAAAGCCCGTTGGAAACATCTACAGGCGTGTGAAATAAATGACCTCGGCGGACACGTCCCAGATGAGTGCCGTGACTTCTAAGAGGGTGAACTCACCTCCTGGTCACCTTCTTGGTGAAAAACTCGTCCACGCCTTCGTCCACTCTCCCCATGAGGCCGTTCCGCTCGCCGTCCTGCGGGACCATGGTCGCAGCACTGACCTGTCAACCAGACGGCACCACAGTGACCGACGGTCAATGAATTCACAGACACTGTGGTCACGGTCAAGGCCCTGGGACCACAGGGCCGGTCCACATGGACAGAAGTCATGAGTTCAGGTGTGACCGGGGCAGGAAGGACAAGGGAGGAACCAGGGCGCACCCAGGCCTGGCGAAGCCTGTGGAAGAGCCAGTGTCTCTACCGCCATCGGCCGGCAGGGCTCAGGGGCTGAGCATCGACCTGTGAACCGGGAGGGCTGAGCATCGACCTGTGAACCGGGTTGTGGACCCCACCGCCAGAGTGGGGAGCGTAGGAAGCAGCCAACCCATGACTCCCATTGTGTCTCTCTCCCTCTCCCTTCCTCTCTGAAATAAAGACATATATTACAAATGGAAAACCAAGACCAGCAGTGAGCATCGCTCTGGGGATGGGAGCATCCGTGTGCTCCCAAGGGCGCAGGGCTCACACGGCCCCGTCTCTGCAGGACAGGCAGCTTCCAGGCCCCTCATCACACAGCCCGTGTTGAGCGGTGGGAGGCCACAGTGACCCACATGGGCCTCCGTCCAACACAGGCAGGCCCAGGGCTGCAGCCAGGAAGCGGCAGGGGGCGGGCCTGGGAGGCGGCCCAGGCTGTGCACTGCGCACACATCGGAACAGCGTTGTCCCTGCGTCCTGCGGCCACCCCAGAGAGACGGGGCCTGTGTGCACATGCATGTGCACGTGTGTATATCCACATGTGTCTGAGTGTGTATGTGCACATGTGTGCGTGCGTGTGCATGCGCATGCTGGGGGAGAGAAATAGGCTGCAGCTCTGGGGACTGGCCCAGGTGGAGAAGGATGGCAGGGGTGCAGGGGTGCTCTGCTCCCCTCAACCAGGGCCCCCAGCAGGGCTCTCCCTCCCCCGGCCAGGGCTCCCCCTCCCCAGCAGTGCTCCCCCCCCCCCCCGCAGGGCTCCCCCAAAGCAGGGCTCCCCACGCACCGCCGCCTGCGTGGGCCGCTGCCTCTTGTTGCGCCGGGGCCGCAGCTTGGTGAAGTGCTCCAGCTTCCGGGCCTCCTCGGAGGGCAGCTCGGGGATGAGGCCGGAGCTCCGCTTCTCGGCGGGGCGGGGCGGGAAGGGGAGGGGCGGGTCCTCCACGTGGATGGGCACCTCCTCCAGGGCCTTGTCCAGGTCGAACTCCATTTCTGCAGGAAGAAGCCGCCCATCAGGAACAATCCCCGCTCAGCGAGCAGCCCCCGCGGGCCCTGCGGCAGGTGCACACTCACCGAAGGCCCGGGACACCGGCCGCAGCATCCGGCTGTGGATCGTCTTCCTCTTGGACTTAGGGGTCATCTAGCAACGAACCACAGGAAGCCCTGAGCCAGCGTCCGCCCACACCACCCCTGGGCACGGGGCACGGGGTTCCACGCCACAGCGTCAGCCCCGCCCCATGGGCCCCGGGCACGTCCCACCTCCACTGGGGCACAGGCGGGCTGCCCGCGCTTCCCAGAAAGTCAGCTTTCATCCTGCTGGTCCCCCTCCCAGACCGAGACCCAAACCCAAACCCAAACCACGGCCAGCACCCAGGGCCCCTCCAGCCAGAGGCGCTGCGGGTCCCGAGAAGCCGAACCGAGGCCGGCGTCCCCGCCTCCCTCCACGGGTGCATTTCCCCAGCCTGGCCTCAGCCCATCTCTGCCCCTCTCGCCTTCCCCGAAGTCTGTGCACCTGTCTGTGCCTGTCCCCAGGCATCAGCACCTGACACTTCACAGACCAGTTCGAGGCTGAGCCCACCAGCCACGGCTTCAGGCCTGGACAGAACCAGTTTGTTTCTAAAAACGCATTCTGAGCCATAGAGAGCAACTTTCCATTTCCTAAAAAAATATTCTATTGATTTCAGAAAGGAAGGAAGAGGGAGAGAGAGAGAAAACATCAACCATAGAGAGAATCATGGATCAGCTGCCTCCTGTACTCCCCTCACGGGGAATCGAGCCCGTAACCCAGGCCTGTGCCCTGATCAGGAGTCAAACCTGGGACCCTTCAGTCCGCAAGCCAACGCTCATCCACTGTGCCACACTGGCCAGGCAGAAGTAATTTTCAATTCACATCTTCAGGACACACAAGGAGCAACATGCTAAACCTTCTCAAAGGAAACCACAAAGGGACCCCTAACAGGCTGCTTTCTCACCCGAGGCGCAGGCGGCGGTGGACAGTGAGGACGAAGGCCTGGCCCTGCCCCCCAGGGCCCAACGCAGCGCCGTCTGCCCGGCCCAAAGCCCACCCGCCCGGCTCGCACACGGCTGGGGCGTCTGACAGTCACCGCTCGATTCGCGAGCTGCGCTGTTGGGGAGACCCAGCGTGGTCAGCCACTGCCTGCTCCGCCCAGGGCCCGCGGAGGCGACAGGACGTCGGGGGACAGCCAGGCAGCGCAGAAGCCAACGGAAACAAGGGCAGAAGTGAGGGCCGGGAAGAGCAGGGCGGCCCCAGTACTCACATGCGTGCAGCAGGGGGTCTCCGTGCAGCAGAAAGAAAGAAGAAACGTGAACGAAGAGGAAACAGCAAAGGCGTTACGAAGACGGGAGAGGCAGCGCTCGCCAGCACAGAGGGCCGCTCAGCAGAGCCTGGCAGGGAGGAGGCCGCACGGGGGTCCCAGGCTGTCATGAGCAGCAGCATGGAGCGGCCTGGCCCTGAGCCGCTGGGAGACGTTGCCCACTGGCTAAGCGGGTGCAGGAGGCCCCTGGCCGACCCTCTTGGGACGGCGACAGCACAGCTCCCGCACCTGTCCTGGCCGGAGCTGGTCCGTAACGGGTGCGGACAGGGGCCTGTGGGCGTGTGAGCGTCCCTGGGGCCTCTGGTGCCCGTCTGCACTCCCCGCTGCACTGAGGGAGCAGCTTTGCATCCCGCATCGTCACAGCCTCCGGGGAAGGGCAGGAGGCCGGTTACCCAGGACACCTTGCCCCTGGGTGGAGCTGAAGCATCAGACGACGTGGTCATGAAAGGCGGGAGGGCCTCTTCCTAACATTCTGAAAGCGTGTCCGGGGCTCCTCAGCAAGGGAGAGAAGAGCCGGCCTGCCGCAAAGGGACCCCGAGCAGCTGCTGGGAAGGTGTCTCAGCACCGTCCCCACCTCCAGACTGCCGAGTCCACACCGTACGAGGACTGTCCTCCCAACGCGCCTCCTTTCTGACCCACTGAGTTAAGTTGGAAACAGCACAGAAGGAGGGGACGTTAGAATACATTCTCCAATACTCCCACGTGGGGTGCAATGCAGACTTCCGTCCCCTGTTAACAGGTTAACTACAGACGCAAACATGAGAGCGGCACAGCTAACTCCCACAGACAGTTTAGATTCCTTACTGGAACTTTTCTTCCCTCATTAATTTTTAGAGAGAGTGGAAGGGAGGGGGAGAGATAGAGAGAAACATCAATGTGAGAGAGACACATGGATTGGGTGCCTCCCAAACACCCTTGACCAGAATCAAACTGGGACCCGTCGGTCTACGGGCCAATGCCCCAACCACTGAGCCAGTGGTCGGCAAACTCATTAGTCAACAGAGCCAAATAGCAACAGTACAACGATTGAAATTTCTTTTGAGAGCCGAAAACCGACTTCTGTGCATGGGCCACAAAGTTTCAATCACACTGCACGGATGCGCCCAAACGTGGTATTTTGTGGAAGAGCCACACTCAAGGGGCCAAAGAGCTGAGGTTTGCCCACCGCTGCACTAAGCCGAACCAGCCAAGGCTCCCTGCCAGGGCCATTCACTCTGCCAATCATTCTAGCGAGGGGGCGGGGTCTTCCCATTGGTTTGGCTCCTAAAGGACAGGCCAACAGAATCACGGTCCTTCGGAGAGGAGAACCATGGCAACGGAGAAGTCTCCGGCCTCGGAGAGTGGCTCCCTCCGTGCACCGTCTCCTCCCGCTCAGCACCCGCTGCACCGAGCTGCCGCAGCCTCCGAGCCTCAGACGGCGACGAGGGGACCAGCAGGCAGCGCTGATGGCAGAATGAGAACCGCCTCCTCAGAGCCCGCTGCTGCAGGGCGACGTCTGCGGACAGGCGGGGCCGGTCCACACGCCTGCGCTGTGACCGAGGCGTGTGCTGCGGCGACGAGTGCACCCGGATGGCTCATCCACCATCTCCAGCCCACAGCCCCGAGGGCACGGCCCAGGCGTGGCAGACGCACGCAAACGGCTGCTCCCGGTGGCATGGACACAGGCCTGTGTCACGGGGGACAGCACACGCACCTGTCACTTGTGCTTCGTGCACATGTTCATCTGTCCTTGAAAAAAGGTTTTTGTTTATTAAGAAACCGAATATTTTTCTTTTTTGTTCATCCTCACCCAAGGATGTTTTTCCATTGATTTTTAGAGAGTGGAAGGGAGGGGGAGAGACAGAAGCATTGACGTGAGAGAGACGCATGAATTGGCTGCCTCCTGCACACGCCCGACCAGGGCCAGGGCACCTACAACCGAGGTACGCGCCCCTGACCAGAATCCAACCTAGGACCCTTCGGTCCATGGGCCGGGCTCTATCCTCTGAGCCACCCGGCCAGGACTGAACCGTTAAGTTCCATCAGCCTCACTTACAGCCTCTGTGCAGCGGCACATCTGACAGCATCGTCTCCGGGGGCGTTTTGTTTGGCCTGGCTTGTCAGGGGAGCTTTTCTATAAGAACCGGCAACCATACCGAGGGCTGCATCTTACCAGGCAGGTGTCCAGGTCCTCCAGGCGCTCCAGCTCCGTCAGCTCCTCCACCACGAGGACCGGGGGCCGGGCCGGCTTCTCGCCCGCGGGCTTCGCGTCCGAGGCCTCGGAGGCAGGAAGGGCCCGGCCCCTCCGGCTGAAGTGGTCAGACTGGGGGGTCAACACAGAACAAATCAGCTGGACACGGGGCAGCAGGTGGCTGGTCCCAGGAGGGTGCCGAGGGCTATGTGGACACGTGGGGTGACCCTGCTTTTTTCTTTCACTTGATCTCAGAGAGGAAGGGGAAGGGGAGAGAGAGAAACATCGATGAGATCTCTGGCCGGTTTGGCGAGGGGGCAGACCGTCGGCCCATAGCTGAAAGGTCCCGGGTTTGATTCCGGTCAAGGGCATGCGCCTCTATTGCAGGTTCAGTCCCCAGCCCCGGTAAGGGCTCTTGCAGGAAGCAACCAATCGATCTGTCTCTCTCAATCGATGTTTCTCTCTGTCTCTTCCCCTCCCTCTCACCCTCTCTAAAAATCAACAGAGAAATAACCTTGGTGAGAATTTAAGAAAATAATAAAAGTAAAATTTAAAAAAATTTTAATCTTAATTTTAAATCTCAGTCTGCACATGGCCCACGACACTGACCTGCACGGTGGATGGACAAGGTTTGGGGGCCGTCACTCGGGCCTTTCCCTGAACCCCCGGGAGAGGGCCCCAGACGCCCGAGGGGCCGGAGGGACGGGTAGGAAGGAGGGGCGGGACCTGCCGGGAAGCGCAGACAGGGCTGGAGGGCGGGCCCTCGGGGTCCAGGCTCACCAGGCGGTGATGGCAATGCGACAGGGCATCCAGGAGCTCATCCACGATCCGGTCGGACAGGAAGGAGGCCACGGTCAGCCTCACCTCGCTGTGGGCAGCCCGAGAGCACAGAGCGTTTTAACGTAGGCAAAGGGGGCGTCACCCACCCCAGGCCGCGTTCACCAGGCCCACGGGCGGCGCCCGCTCTGCCGACGGAGGTGAGGATGTGTGCACAGGGCCCCGCTTCCAACGGAAGCCGCGGACACGGTCATCACATCTTTCGCCACCTAGCCTGCCCTGCCATCTCAGCCTCGGCCTTGGAGGCAGACCCGAGAGCATCTGCATAAAGGCCGATTGGCATGATGGGACTTATTTTTATTGACTTCAGAGGCGAGAGGAAGAAAAGAAACACCCACGATGAGAACCATGGACCGGCTGCCGCCTGCCCGCCCCACACGGGGATGAGCCCGCCACCGGCAGTGCCCTGGCCGGGAACGGACCAGACCCCTGGCTCAGAGCCCGCCCCCAGCACGAGCCCCGGCGGGCGGGCGGGCGGGCGGGCGCCCACCTGATCTTGTTGAGGATGTCCACGCCCGACTGCTCCAGCAGCACGTTCTTCACGAAGGCGCGGGGCACGGAGAGCTTCTCGGAGCCGGCGAGGATCAGGTCCTGCCGGACGTGGGCCTTCTTCATCACGTGGGGGCACAGGCTCTCGGCCGCGTCCACCATGGACTCCAGCAGGGCCTGCGGCGCAGCGCAGCGCAGTGAGGGCGAGGCCACAGGGCGCCGCCGTCGGCCTCCCGCGCCCGACGTCACGTTAACCACAGAAGGCGGTTTCCCCAGAGCAGGCCCCTCTCTGCCTCACACCAGGCAGGGTCATTCCCTCATCAGTGGGACCCGTCCCAGGTCAAGGTCATGTGGAGAGGTCCCGTCAAAACCAAAACGGAGCCCTGGCCGGTGTGCTCAGTGGACAGTGTCGGCCTGCGGAATGCAGGGTCTCGGGTTTGACTCGTCAAGGGCGCATCCCTCGGCTGCAGGCTCCTCCTCAGCCCAGGCCCTGTTCAGGGCGCCTGCAGGAGGCAACCAATCGATGTGTTCCTCTTCACATCAGTGCTTCTGTCTCTCCCTCTCTCTTCCACTCTCCCTAAAAACCAGTGGGAAAACATCCTCGGGTGAGGATTAAGAAAAAAAAAAACAAAAGAAATGGAATTTGACAGGTGCAATCTCATCCTCTAAGAAGTCATTCCAAAATGTACCAAGGAAGCTGAAAGGCAATCACCCATGTTTGCCACCATGTGTGTGGGGGACAGGTGAATGCGCGCACACACACTCACATACTCTCACATACTCTCACACACTCTCACACACACACACTCACACACACACACACACACTCATACACACACACACACACACACTCTCACACACACTCACAAACACACACACACACACACACTCACTCACACACACACTCACACACACTCACACACACACACTCACACACACACACACACACACACTCAGCCGATCCAGCACAGGCAGCGTGGCCCGGGCTGCCCTCACGCACAGCTAAGCCGTGACCACGCCCTCCTCCGAAGGAGCAGAAGGCACAAACCTTTAGTTGCTCGTCGACAACCCTGGTGACCTCCCCGGCCATGGACTCCAGCGTCTCCTGCACGGGACTGGACAGGCCGCTGGCTCCCGCCCAGGACGCGCTGCCCACGTGGTACAGGTTTGGCAGCAGCTGGAAGAAAGGGCAAGAGCTGCCACAGTGAAGTGGCCGTGGCCTGAGCACAGTGGCCCGGCGGGAAGGAGTGGTGAGCACATAGGCCCCAGGGGGGTGCAGGAGGCGGCCAATCCATGATACTCTCTCATTGATGTTCCTCCCTCTCTTCCCTCTCCCTTCCTCTCTGACACCCATAAAAAACACTCTCTTTTTTTAAAAGGAAGCTGGAGACGTTAACCCACGAGGCCCGCGCCGCCCGAGGTGAAGCTCACCGTCTTGGAGTTCTTGGCGTCCCGCATGAGCCGCTCGGCCGACCGCACGTCCTCCTGCACGGCATCGCCCCCGCAGTTCCGCAGGGAGTTGAGGTGATCTTGCACCTTCACGCACATCCTGTCGATCATCTGCCCGCACGAGGGAAGGACACCGCGGGCCGGGCGCGCGAGGCGTTCGGACGGAAGGAAACAGCACAGTGAGGTCGGAAGCCTCTTCCCGGGACCCAGGAGGCGGCTCACAGGGTCTCATCTCAATGCTTCTGCTGTGTAAGGAGCCCTGGCTGTTCTCCTGCCCCGGGGAGTGACTGGCGGGGCCCGGGGTGGGTGGGCGGGCGGGGCCCCAGGCGGGTGGGCAGCGGGTGCCCACCTGCTGGGTGGTGCTGGTGACGATGCCCTGCTGGAGGCGGTAGGCCTGCTCCTGCAGGTACTTCCTGGTCTCGTGGTTCCGGAGCAGGTAGTTTTCTATCTGGAAACAAAGCAGGTGCCTCTCAGGGTCACAGCGTGACCCCAACAAGCGACACTCGAACCAAAGCACGAGTTCCACGCCCACCAGCGCCCCGACCGCAGGCCTGGGAGGCGGGTGCTGCCCTCCCGGGGAAGCCCTGCCCGGAAAAGGAACCGTGACCTCCCGGTTCGGGGTGGACGCTCAGCCACCCACCACGCGGCCGGCTCGGGGAGGAATGGGGCTCATGGCACAGGAGCGGACACCCCCCGGCCCCATCGGCGCCGGCGGCCCTGGCACATAGGCCCATTGCACAGCGCTGTGTCAGCAGGTCGGACGGACGGACGGACAGACGCGGCTCCGTGCGAAGGTGCGTTCACGGCCACCGCCTGCCGCCCGTACCTTCTGCAGAGCCTCCTCCGTCTTCTCCGGGTTCGTCTTGAGGGCTTGGGCGGCGTCGTACATGGGGATCGGCATGAACCGCAGCGTGTAGTTCCTACGGAAAGGAGAAGGTCATGTTTCTTTAAAAGTAACCTCGTGCCCGGCCGGCGGGTCTTAGTGATTGAGCATCAACCTAGGAACCAGAAGGTCACAGTTCAATTCCTGTCAGGCCACGTTCCCGGGCTGTGGGCTCCAGCCCATGTGGGGCGGGCAAGAGGCAGCCAATCCGTGATCCTCTCTCATCACTGATGTTTCTCTCTCTCTCTCTCTCTCTCCCTTTGTCTCTGAAGTCAATAAATTATTTTAATTTTAGAAAAGAAAAGTGGTTGCAGTGGCTTTCTGCCACCCCCACACCTTGCCCTGAGCCACACATCTCTGCCCTCCAGTCCCATCGGCCCGAGCCCACAGGCCTGCCGTCCCCACTGCACCTTCCCTTGGGGTCTCAGCCTCCTCACTCCCAGGTGCAGAGCTGCCGTCTCGGACAGAAAGCAGCACCCGTGGAGGCAGACTGTGAAGCCGCGGGAGGAGGAAGCAGCGTCAGGCACACCAGGCACACGTGAGACCAGCTCAGCCCTGCCTCCCAAGCCCAGCCACAGCTCCGCCCGCCATAGCCCGGGGCTCAGGGACACCCCGGGGAGCTCAGGGACACCCCAGGGGGCTCAGGGACACCCCGGGGCTCAGAGGGTTGGGCCTGGGTGACTGTCTCCAGAGGAACCACGAGCACCCACTTCTCCATGGCCACGGCTATGTCCTGGAAGCCTTGAGCAGAGATGTTGTTCTTGTCCCAGATCACCGTCCTGGAGGAGAGAAACACAGACGATGAGACCCTTCAAGGGGAGGGACCAGCCTCCCGCTGACGAGGAAGCTTTTGTGGGCTGTCGGGGTGCTTTCGGACGACGCATCGTGTGGAGGGGAAATGGTGGCCCTCGCCCCGAGCCAGTGGACCCGGGATCCTGGCTGTCTGTCTCCACGGTGGCAGGCCCGGGGAGGAGGGAGAGGAAGGCCAGGAGGCTGGGCTCACACCCTGAGCAGGAAGCCCGTGCCTCCTGCCGCCTCCCGGCTCTGCTCGCCGGGTCCTGCCACCAGCGACCACTGCCTGCCCCGCTCGTCCGTCAGCACCGACGTGGGAGGGGCCCGGCAGCTCTCAGCAGGTTCCCCTCCAGCAAACCTTCACCCACAAGCTGGGAGGAGTCACTGTCTGTCTGGGAGCAAGCCTGGCTGGCACGGTTCGGGGTGAGCAGCGACCTATGAACCAGCAGGCCAGGGTTCGATTCCCGGTCAGGGCACAGGCCCGGGTTGTGGGCTCAATCCCCAGGGGGGAACATGCAGGAGGCAGCTGGTCCGTGATTCTCTGTCATCATGGATATTTTTCTCTCTCTCTCTCCCTTCCTCTTTGAAATCAATACAATATATTTTTAAAAATAAGTCTGGTAACACCCTCTCGGTATTCTAACAAAGGATGGAAACTGTCACCCCGGGGCCCCAGGCCCCTGGGCTGGCCGGGCCCTCCCTCGGCCACCTGGGCGGCACCGGGCGCACCTGAGCTTGGTGTTGATCTGCAGCGCTTTGGCCAGCATCTTGGCGCCCATGTCGCCCATGGCGTTACCGCTGATGTCCACTTTGGTAAGGGACGTGTTGCTGCCCAGGGCGTTGATGATGATGGTGACCTCAGTCTTGAGCTTGGAGTCGGCCAGGGACAGGGACTGCAGAGGCTGCGGGGGAACAGCACGTGGCTCGTCTCGGATGGAGAGCTGCTGGAGGGCCCACTGCATGGGGGCCTCCTCGGTCAGCTCAGCCAGGACACGCTGGGAAGGGGACGTGCGGTTCTGGCACAAAATGGACAGCACCTTGCTTCTAGGGAGGTGCCGTCAAACAGACGGCACCTCCCTAGAAGCAAAGCCGTGGGCGACACCGAGAGGCAGGTGCCAGCTCTGACTGGATGGAGTAACGAAGATGCCCCACAACATCTCAGACATAAAGACGAGCTCAGGCCCGGCCGCGTGGCTCTGTGGCTGAGCATCGACCTAGGAACCAGGAGGTCACGGTTCGATGCCTGGTCAGGGCACAGGCCTGGGTTGCGGGCTCCATCCCCAGTGTGGGATGTGAAGGTGGCAGCCGGTCAATGTTTCTCTCTCATCGTTGATGTTTCTCTCACTCCCTCTCCTTTCCTCTCTGAAATCAATAAAAACATACTTTTTAAAAGAGATGAGCTAAGGAGTCAATCTCTATTGCTTTTCACCTATTCGTTACAATCTTCCTTTAATTCATCACAAGTGGAATCAAGGGAGAAGCCAGTAAATAAATGTTAAATGCCTCTTATCGCCGTTCCAAAGCATACGATTTATTCCATCTGTTAAAAAATGATAGAAAACGGGCAGCCAGAATGAACGGTGTGGAAGCCCCTGACCGCTAACCAGCGGGAAGAGTGAGAAGAGTGCACGAGACACGGGCAGACGTCTAGGCAGCTCACCGACTCCTCGTCCTGGATCATCTGCACCAGGCTGTCCAGCACGGGCGTCAGGTTCCTGCGGAGACGGGAGAGGCGGCGGAGGGTCACCACGAGGTCCCAGGAGGCTGGGCGCGCCTCGTCGCATGCACAACTCAGAGCTTACTTGGGTTTCATGTTGGTGAAGTTCTTGCCCAAGGCCAGGTGCTGGATGGACCTGTTCCTGCTTAGCCACACGATCAAGGTGGAGAGGTCGGACTCCAAGCCTGGGGGGAGGGACGAGGGTCAGGACGCGGCCGACGGAGGCTCGGTGGAACGCGATCCCGCAAGGGCGGCTCCCCAGGGGCCCGGGTCCTTGCCTCCAGGGAACGCTGTGCTCTTGCCCTGCCCTGTTCCCTGGGAGAAACCCTACACTCGTTCTCCAGCCCGGCCAGCATGGCGCAGGGGTTGAGCAACGGACTATGCATCAGGTGGTCAGGGTTCGATTCCCGGTTGGGGCTCATTCCTGGGTTGCGGGCTCGATCCCCAGTGTGGGGAGTGCAGGAGGCAGCCGATCAATGATTCTCATCATTGATGTTTCTCTCTCTGCCTCTCCCTTGCTCTCTGAAAGTAATAAAAATATGGACACAGACAATGGGGGAGGTAAAGGCCTGGTCAGGCTGTGTTAGAGGAGTTAATGCAGGAGGGAAGACGTGTGATACTTTCAACAATAAAGATTTATTAAAAAACAAACTCGTTCTCCAGTCCCCTGCTCAGTCTGTGGGGGAATGAGGTCAGCGGGTGGGAGTGGAGAGAGGCTGGGGACTCCCACGCTCCCATCTTGGTGAGAACGGTGTCTGTGCAAACCGAACAGGTGCCCACACACAGACTGCCAACGTCCACGGGAACACGCCGGGAACACGCTCCAAATGCACACGCCAGGGCTCAACCTGGTCTCCCTCCACCGAGAGCCCCAGAGGCTGGCCTCAGCTCTTCCTCTGATGGGCCTGAGGCCTTAACTGGCATTTGTGTCTGTTGTGTGTGTGTGTGTGTGTGTTATTGTTAATCCTTCCCTGAGGATATTTTTCCATTGATTTTGAGAGAATGGGTGGGAGAGACAGAGAGGGAGACATCAATGTGAGAAAGACTTTATCGATTGGTTGCCTCCCATAAGCGCCTGACCAGAGATCGAGTTGGCAACTCAGGTACCCAGGTACCTGCCCTTGACTGGAATCGAACCCAGCACCCTCAGTCCGAAAGCAGGCGCTCTACCCACTGAGCTCACCGGCCAGGGCTGAGCTGACGTTTTCTTTTCCTGCCCTGACTTTGCACTGTGGGCTCTAGGCCGGCTCGGTGAGACATGGGCACGGGTTTGTTCCGTAAATAAGCTCTATTGGCAAACGTAAAAGTCCACCAGACAGGCGGGGGTCACATCTCTATGACGTCGGCCAGGTCGGCTAGAAGGTGCGGCCCTGAAAACCCTCCATCTCCCCTCCACCCCCGAGGCTGCTCACCGTTGTCAGAGATGTCCAAGCTGGTGACGTTGTGGATCTCGGCGATGCAGCCCTCCAACACCTGTGCACCCCCTGACCTCAGCTGGACAGACAGACGGACACAAGGCACAGTCACCCAGGAGGCGTAGCCAAAACCGCGATGCGTCTTAAACTCAGCACCAAAGACAGGTCCAACTTGGAAACGTCATCGACGCAACCCAGGTGGTAGGAGCAGCACTCATCTCTGCCGCCGTCGCCCTCCCACGTCACACCAGCCACAGCCTCCAGGAAAGCAGCCAGGCAGCCCTGGGGCTCAGTGGACAGAGCGTCGGCCACGGACTGAAGGGTCCTGAGTTTGATTCTGGTCCTGTGCCTGGTGGCAGACTCAGTCCCAGTATATGGTGACCAGGAGGCAGCTGATCAATGGTTCTCTCTCATCACTGATGTTTCTATCTCGCTCTCCCTCTCCCTTCCTCTCTGAAATCAATAAAAATTATATTTAAGAATAAAAAAAGCCCTAACTGATTTAGCTCAGTGGATAGAGCGTCGGCCTGTAGACTGAAGGGTCCCTGGTTCAATTCCAGTCAAGGCATGTACCTTGGTTACAGGCACATCCCCAGTGTGGGGTGTGCAGGAGGCAGCTGATGGATGTTTCTCTCTCATCGATGTTTCTAACTCTCTATTCCTCTCCCTTCCTCTCTATAAAAAAATCAATAAAACATATATATTTTTTAAAAAGAATTAAAAAAAAACAAGTATTTTCTAGTGTCTTTTTAAATTTGTGCAAAAACACTGATTTACGCTAGACTGGAACCTAGAAAACAACAGGTTCTTCACAACACACAGTTTTAAGTTATTACAAGAAAACCTCTATTTTCTATAAAGAGCAATGGAAACATTTCATTTACAAACATGGGACCTCCAGGTGACATGTGAGCGCTCAACGCCATTTGTTTTATAAAAACCCTTAACTAGATGCCACTTGTGGCCTTTCCCCATGGAAGTGACATTTTCCAATTGCCAACCAGAATCCGAGCTATCGGCCAGGCCGGCGAGCAGCCCCCGGGGTACTTACACAGAGGCCCAGCTACCGGCAGCCGAGGAGAGAAAACAGAACGGTTATCGCTGTGAGGCGACTGAGAATCAAGGAGCTCAGTCTCTATCGATACACAATTTAAAAGGCGAAGAGTCGGGAACAGACACTGCAACTCAGACGTGCTCCCGGGACAAAACTCAGATGCGTGAACGGAAAGCAGCGCCTCTTAGGAGCCAGGGTGGGGCCTCGCTCCGGGTACGGAGGCCGGGACGCCCCCCAGGCTGCAGGGGCTGCGAGGGAAAGCCCTTTAAATGCACAATGCCCGTGCCTTTCTCCCTCGCGCGCCAGGTTCAAGCACGTGGTGCCCCATGGCCCCCTGCAGGAAGGCTGCGAGTCCACTGTGTCTCCTAGCATACGTAAGCCACTGGGCAAAAATGGGGAATTTTTTTTAATCATGAAAAGCCCACTTGGATGCTTGGTGATGGGGACTGTGGTGTTTGGATCAAACACACAAAATGGAGCCCGGACCTTCCTGGACGCCCTTCCCTGCTTTGGTGATGCTGGAGCCACAGCCTCAGCTCTTTCCAGGAAAACAGGCGAAGGGCAGCCGCCGGCATCCTTACCTCGCAGCTGCTGAGGTCGAGGGAGACCGCCTTCAGGTTGCGGTTGCTGTTCAGGCTGAGCAGCAGCGCCCTGCGGAGGGAAAGGGCCAGGCCACGCGTCGCTGGGCAGGTCTGTGCACCCCAAATGGAGCCCAAATGCACCCAGAATGTAGCCCAGAGGAGGGCCCGGGCACCCAGCCAGCACCAGCACCACCTCCCTGCTGACAATGACACTGCGGCTCAGTGGTTGGAGGGTCACCCGATACTCCCAAAGGTGATGGGTTCGATTCCCTGGGCACCTGCCCGGGTTGCAGGTTCAATCCCTGGTCAGGGCATGTAAAGGAGGCAACAAACCGATGTTCAATCTTTCTCTCTCTCTTTCTCATTCCGTCTCCCTCCCTTCCACTCAATGGACCCGGCTAGTGTGACTCAGTGGTTGAATGTTGACCTATGAACCAGGAGGTCCCGTGTTCGATTACCTGTTGGGGCACAGGCCCAGGTTGCAGGCTTGATCCCCAGTGGGGGCTGTGCAGGAGGCAGCCGGTCAATGGTTCTCTCTCATCACTGATGTTTCTCTCTCTCCCTCTCCCTTCCTCTCTGAAATCAAGATGTTTAAAAAAGAACCATTTCCCTCTGTGCCCTGAAGTGAAAAGACAGCCCATCAGCCTCGTGGGCCTTGGGGTTCTGCGGCTGCCCCTCCCCAGCACGCGGGACTGGAAAAGCTGCGGAGAAAACGCGAGAGAACCACTCACTTTAAGGGCTCGGGCGCCAGCTTGGTGCCCGAGAGGTTGATGTGCGTCAGCGCCAGGGAGCTGCTGAAAAATTGCCGGAAGGAGGGCGGCACCTCTTTGCCTTTCCTGAAAGACAGACAGTCACCTGGGGCTACCTGCGGCCACCCCTGCAAGTCAGCACCCGACTCCCAAAAGGGCAAACACATATCCACAGGCTCTGAGATAACCCACAAGCCAGTGATCTCTTCAGTAGGAATTTGAAGATAAAATAAATAGAAGGACCCAGCCGGCGTGGCTCAGTGGGTTGAGCATCGGCCTATGAACCAGGAGGTCACAGGCCACCCCCGTCCTCCCGAGAAACATCGGCCCGTTCCCTCTGTGGCCACAACGTGACCATCTCCCGGAAGAGAGGCCCGCGGCACTCGGTCCTACCGGTGAGAGAAGACGGTCCGGGAGAGGTTGAGCACGGCCAGGTACTGCAGGCAGCCTCGGAGCAGCGCCGCGCAGACCTGGGGGACAAGGGCAGGTGTCTCCGGGCCTGGGCCGAGGGGCGTGTCAGTGAGAAAGCCCTCGGGACCGCCCCGGCCATAGAAGCCATTACCATGTCCAGGGCGCACTCGGTGCTGGAGAGATCCAGGTGCGTGAGGGCGTTGGGCTGGGCTAGAAAGCTGTACATGGGCTTGAAATAAAAAACAAGCAGCAAACATATTAGGATCTAGAAACACAAACACACACACACTCTGAAATACCCCAATTAGCCCAAATATCCCAGAATCCTCCTCCAGTTTTCCCAAGAGAATTAGCAAAATTTTATGTCATTGTATTATCTTCCTTGAGGGAAAAACAAGTAAACAAAAATCTAGAGAGTAGTTAAAATTATGTGTCAGTAAAACCAAGCCCAGATGGGACCGTGGCCTCAGCTGCCGCTGTTGCACGTGGCCTCGCTGCCTGGTTACTCTGTTCGTCGCTCCGGAGCAGCTGACCACCTTCGCTGGGCGACGGAGAGCCACCTGGTGACAATCGCCTCGCGAACGTGAGTCCCTCCAGGGAGCAGGTCAGGGCCAAGAACGTGAACCTGAACCCCAGGACGGTCTTGGGCTCCCCTCCCTCTGTCCAACGCAATGACCTTTCCCTCCCTGGTGGCCGCCCCACCCAACACACAGCCCCGGGCAGCTGAGACACGGCGGGTTTCGGGGGTCGTGACTTTAAGGAGGGCAGCCCCTGAAACTCCCTACAGAGCGCCTCCGAGCTCAGGATGACGAGGCGAAGGCGCCCCTCAAGGCGGCGAGGGCATGAGTGGAAGCCCGTCAGACACGCCCCAGGCTCACAGGGCACGGCGCTGGGCAGGCGCGCACCCACCGAGAGGTCGTCTCCGCGAAGGCTGTTCCCTGAGAGGTCCAGGTGCGTGAGGGTGGTGGTGGTCAGCGGGTTGGCACTGAGTGACTGAGAAAGGCAGTTCACCCCTGAAACGGCGAGAAGATTCGGCTCAGTGTCCAGGAAACAAAATGAGATCTAGGCCCGCCAGCCTGGCTCAGTGGTCGAGCATTGACCTATGAACCAGGAGGTCAGGGTTTGAGTCCCGGTCAGGGCACAGGCTCGGTAGCGGGCTCCATCCCCAGTGGGCGTGTGCAGGAGGCAGCCGATCAGTGACCCTCTCATCCCTGATGTCTCTCTCCCTCCCCCTTCCTCTCTGAAGTCAATAAACATATTAAAAAAGGAAGGAAGGAAAGGAAACCGCGGGGGCCCAGGGGCAGAGGGCCACATGAGGGGAGAGCCGATCGGGGAGCAGGCCTGCGAGGTGGGCAGGGAGGGGACTCTAACATGCCCTCCTTGTCACGGGACCAGGGCCAAGGGAGCCAGAACATTCTGCTCACTCGCTGGGATCAGTAGAGGTCAGACAGAGAATCGTGATCATTCTTCAGATCACAGGACATGGGTTACTAGGAAGCATTTTGTGTTTTTACTAAAATTCCAAGGTTCTATTGTGTAATTTGAAAATATGGCTATTTCTAAATTGAGTATATTCTTCAAAAAGTGCATATATTTGATCGGCTGCCTTCTGCACACCCCACACGAGTCCCTGGATCGAGCCCAGGGACTGAGGATGGAGCCGGCAACTCAGGCGTGTGCCCTGACAGGAATCGAATCGTGACCTCCTGGTTCGTAGGTCAACGCTCAACCACGGGGCCATGCCTGCTGGGCTAAAATGAATGTACTTTTATAGATTAAGTTGTGTTTCTAATTTTGCAGTAAAATGCTTGACTATCCCAGGCTGTCCCTGGAGACAAAGGGGCTTTATGCTCCGCCTCGGCCAGGATAAGGTCAGGGCCAGGCCGCCAGAGCCAAGAGATACTCGCTCCGCTCAGAGAAGAGCTGGGAGTTACAAGCAAGGACTCCGGGTGTGTCCATCGAGTCCCGCAGCCACTGCTCAGGGCGAGTCCGCCCTGGGGCGCAGAGAGGAGATGGGGACAGAGAAACACTTGAGGGGAGTTCAGGGAGGAAGCCGCGGCCACACTCATGAAGTGCACACAAAATGCTCCCACAAGGCCGGGTCAGGTCCATGTAACAGACCTACCCTGTGCCCTCAGACAGGCCCAGAAGCTCAAGTCCAGGGTGAGGTCAGATAAGAGGTTTCCTTATCTGACAGACCCTCGGATCCTGAAGGACAGCCCCGAGTACGGCATGGGCTCCGGGACCCCAGGCACCATCTCAGCCTCCACAGCCGGGCCAGCGAGAGGCGGTGAGAGCAGGACGAGCAGCGATGCCAGACGAGAGCCTGGCGTGAGAGGCGCGGATCTGACCAGTCTGTCAGATAAGGAAACCTGGAAGGCCGACAGAGAGCTCCCTGTTTGGAGGCAACACCTGCGAGGTTAAAACGGGTGGGGAACGTCCGGCCGCGGGCCGTAGAAGTCCCGAGAAACCATTGGCCTGGCTCTGCCCAGGCATCAGGGCCAAGTTAATTAAATAACTTGGCCAAACAGTGCAGCTAGTTTTTAGGTTGATCATTTTGTACGGACCGAGAATGATGTTACAAACATCCAAATGGGCCCAGTTGGCTTGGCTCAGAGGTTGAGCATCAACCCATGAACCAGGAGGTCACGATTCAATTCCCAGTCAGGGCACAGGCCCAGGTTGCAGGCTCGATCCCCAGTGTGAGGCATTCAGGAGGCAGCTGATCCGTGATTCTCTCTCATCATTGATGTTTCTAATTCTCTCTCCCTCTCCTTTCTCCTCTATAATCAATGAAAATAAAATGAAAATAGAGAAGTAAATATCCACATGGCCCCTGGCATTCAGAAGGTCCTGCCTGTGGAAATGGCCAGCCTCTGCAGCCCGCCCTGTGCTGGGACTATTCATGTATGTTCTGAGTCCAAACATGCAGAGCACCCCAGACTCTCAAGAAAATCATGCAAAACCATGTCCTCAGTGAGCCTGACAAACCTTAACAAACAAACTCCAAAAGGAACAGGTCGGATTGGTCTCCACCGCACAACGCCCCCTTGGCAGGCGCCGGCGCTTGGCAGGCAGCCAACGTCTGCCCCGACTCCGGGAGCCTTGCGCCCAGTGTCAAGCCGCTGGCCGGAACGAGGCTCCCTGCCCCTCCTGCCACCCTCCACAGGAGGCGGGTTCGTGGGCACAGGAGCAGCAGGAAACCCAAAAACCAGGATGGAAGAAGCCAGGCCGCTCCCAGCCCCGAGTCAGCGCTGGAGGCTCTGCAGCTGGAGCAAGGGTGGCAGACGGCCGTGCCGAAGCCTGGCGGCCGGCGGGACAGGCACCAGGAGCCTGAGAACCGTCCTCCCGCCAGCATCTGAGGGGTGGCATGGGGAGGGGAAAACAAGCTTTCTTGAATTAGGGAGCTCTGGCTACACATCTTTTCCCGGAATTGAAATATAAATGCCGGTCAAACTGCACAAAAAGCTTACGAGGACCGCTTCATCGGAGTTATTTTGAAGCTGCAAAAACAAGGAACGCCTTTAAAAACTGTTGTATCAGGCTGGCATGACTCAATGGTTGAATGTCTACCTATGAACCAGGAGGTCAGGGTTCGATTCCCGGTCAGGGCACAGGCCCAGGTTTCGGGCTCCATCCCCAGTGGGGGACGTGCAGGAGGCAGCCGATCCATGATGCTCTCCGATTGCTGATGTTTCTATCCCTCTCTCCCTCTCCCTTCCTCTCAGAAATCAATAAAAAACTATCTTTAAAATCACATTAACAGGGAGACTGCTGCGGATAGGGCAGCCGCACTGAAGCTTTGGAGGAGTGGTCAGAGTCACTGGGGAAGGAAATGGGAGCTGGAAAAATGCATACGCACATCAACATCTGGTCTACGACGTTTTTGAAAATGAGATGGATTTCCATAAACACTGTCTCTATCATTAGTCCAAGTGTGTACACACCTGTATTTTGACTATTTTATTAGTCTTTTAATCCTCACCCAAGGATATGTTTTAATTAATTTTTAGAGAGTGAGGAAAGAAGGGGAGGGAGAGAGAGAGAAACATGGATTGGCTGCCTCCCATATGTGCCCCAACCAGGGACTGAACCCCAAACCCAGGTGTGTGACCTGACTGGGAATTGAACCCACAACCTTGTGGTGTACGGGACGGCGCTCCAACCGAGCCACTGGCAGGTGTTGATAAGCATATTTAAATATAGACGTGCGAGTAAGTAATAATCCTAACTACTTAAGGTAGAGAACGTCACAGACATAGAGTTAATAAGATATACAGTACCTTTAGGTGACAATGAGGTTTTAGATAAATTTAAATGCTTTAATCCCTTTGGGAGTTTGGCAAATTGAACACTTAAAGAGGCCACACCTGAGAAAGGAAACAGAGAAGGGCATTATGAGGCTTCCCAGTGCTTGGAATGGCACGTGTGTGCAAACGTGTCTCTGAGTTTTTCAATAAATCCTCAACACGTCCCCTCGATGAGCAGTTCTGTAAGTAGTTTCCACTCCGTTGGATTCCCTGTGGAATTCTCAGGGGCGGCCAGCAATGGTATTTCCACCGAGGAGCCAACGAGAGCAAAAGCAGCCCTTAGAACGCAACACAGCCCACCCGCACGGCTCAGGGGTTGAGCATTGACCTTTGAACCAGGAGGTCAGGGTTCAATCCCTGGTCAGGGCACAGGCCCGGGTCGCAGACTCAATCCCCAGTGTGGGGTGTGCAGGAGGCAGCTGATCCATGATGTTCTCTCCTCACTGATGTTCCTATCTCTCTCCCTCTCCCGTCCTCTCCGAAGTCAACAAAAAAAAAAAATTTTTTTTTAAAGACCGCAATCACAGCTCAGCCAGGTCTGCTCCCCATTCCCCAGGCCTGGCTGAAGTGACCTCCCCACCCGGCTCACGGACGGCAGCGCGGGTCCGAGACTCCAGGTACCTCGGTCCTCCAGCGCGTTGCCAGCGAGGTTGATGGTGTGCAGTCCTGAGCCGGGGTTGTGTGCGAGCGCACTGGCCAGTTTCTGTGCAAACTCTCTGCAGACAAACACAACAGTGAGAGGAACGACCAGTGTGCAGAACGGCTCACACCCTCACAGCTGGAGCAGCTGGAGGAGCAGCTGGAGGCAAAGCGACAGACACCTTCTTCCCAGAGGAACCCACGTGCTGCTTATTTCTCAGCGCCCAATCTGTTTCCCACGAGGTAAATCCTCCTCAGAGAACCTGCAGGCACATCCAACGTGGCTCATTTCCGTGGCCAAAGCCTCATTCCGAAGCAAAGAGAAAACCCTGTCATTGCCCATTGAAGACACATTTCAGGCCTGGCCGGCTGGCTCAGTAGTCAAGCATCAAGCTGGGGACCAGGAGATCACAGTCTGATTCCCGGTCAGGACACATGCCTGGGATGTAGGCTTGATCCCCAATGTGGGGTGTGCTGGATCAATGATTCTCTCTCATCATTGATGTTTCTGTCTCTCTCTCCCTCTTCCTTCCTTTCTGAAATCAATAAAAATATATCCTACATATAAAATTTATGCCAAGTGTCTCCATGGGAGTTCCATCACCTGCTATGATGTGCACTGACCACCAGGGGGCGGCGCGGAATGAAAGAAGGCCCCAGCCAGCAGCGGGAAGGCCCCAATCAGCCCTGATCGCAGGCCAGGCCTAGGAACCCTACCCACGCACAAATTTCATGTACCGGGCTTTAGTATATACGTAAGAAAGACATTTCAGGACACAGTTGATAGCATGCATCGGCCCCTCCATAACGTGGAGCCGCACCCACGAATGCAGACCCAGCTGTTCTCATTGTGGAGTTTAAAGGCTGCAATTGTCAGCACCTTCCTTTAATGAAAATTAAAATCGCTATTTTAGATGTGTTCCACTTAAAATAATGCACCGAGGGCTGTGATTATGAAACTGCCACCCCTCCCCACTTAGCAGTGGAGTCTGTGTCTAGCAGATTCCAGCTCCCACACGCCCCGCACAGGATCTCGGAAACACGAGGTGCAGGCGACGTAAGTGTGAATCAGAAAAGGGAGGCCAATGGCCAACCCGACCAGAGCAGAGTGTAAAACGGCCTGCAGGTGGCTGTAGTGACATGGTCATCACGGCCCCAGAGCACGGGAGATGCTTTCTAAGCACTTTCTATACTGCCTCACTGACCCAGAGCGGTAATTTGATAAGGAAGGAGCTAATATTATGTCCATTTCAAAGAGGCAGAGACTGAGGCAAAGAGCCCAAACTGCCAAGGCCACAAGGTGTCTGGCTCAAGGGCCCACACACAGGCACCACCACACACCCTGAGACACCATGGCAAATGACGTCATGAAATCGTGACCTCTGTGGCAATGCTGGGGGTTCTGGGAACTTTGTTAAGAAGGGAAAACAGCACGTTCTCTATGTGAGGGGCCCACCTTTTCATTTTACCTGTATCTTAACTTTAGAGAAAATGGCAAGATGTTCCAAAGCCACAGAGTCCCGTGTGCAGGGAAATACTCACATCCTCAGCCCAGCGTTTTCCAGCACCAGCTCCTCCAGCCGACTGGACCTGCTCACCACCCTCAGGATCTGCTCACACACGTCGGAGGACTGCAACACAACACACGCGTTAGCCGCACCGCACACCTGCCACCACGCTCGCGTCACTGTTACAGCCTCGCAACACCGTATGGCATCAACCGTCCGTGCACACAGTCGTTCACCCTGAAAGCCTAACGGAGCCCATCACGAGGAAGGTCCTGGGAGACAGTGACATAAAGGACAGCGTCCCCGCCATCAAGAGCGGACCCACAGCGGGGAATCGGACAAGAGAACACACAATGTGGTAGAACAATGAACAGGCCTTTTCGGTCACGGTCTGGGCACAGAGGTACATCTCACCCCGTCCTGGGAGAGCAAAAAAAGTTCCCCAAGAAAATGACATGCAAAGGGGAGAATAAAAGTCAAGGGCAGTGATGATGGTGGTGATGCTCATATGCTCTCTGTGCAGGCGGAACCCGAGTCGTTTCTGCCAACAGGAGTGGGCATTCCAAGGCCACCCGCCTGAGTCTTTCTTGCCGGATTCGTCAAAACTGCCCGAAGCAGCTGAAAGTGCGAGGAAGAACTTGTCTAAAGCATCTCACAAACGAGATGTTCCAAGGAATGCTTCTGGGAAAAAGCTCCTAAGAAATAAACATGGAGGCAGCGCGCCAGCATGGCAGGAAACAAACCTCCGTTTCTGATTGTCGGCAGGTGTTCGAAACCCAGCCTCCCGTGCACCACGCGCTCACCTCCCCTCCCCACTCACCAGCCTGAGGTCCTTGGAGGACAGCTTGGAGAACCACTGGTTGTACTCCAGGGCAGCGATGATGGGGATCAGGTCCCTGGGAGCAGAAATCACAAAGCCCGCGCTCTTACAACAGCCAAGAGCCACGCCATCAGCGCCCCCGGCTCCGAGCTGGCGGGAGGCGGGAGGGAGGCCCTCACCTGTGTTCCAGGTGACTGAAGTCCTGCAGGTTCAGCTCCCGGGTGTCCTGCGTCAGGTAGATCGTGTCCACATCCTGTTGGAAACACAGCGCAGTCGTGTGAACAGGCCGCGTTGGTGGCGGGGAGCGAGAGAGACGCAGAGGCAGACAAGGACGCGGGCGGATTCATATGTGATCTGAGCAAGGAAGACTGAGCAACAACAAAGGGCAGGAAACAGAGAAATAAGCACATAGACACTGAAATACTGTGTGTGTGTGTGTGTGTGTGTGTGTGTGTGGGTGTACTGTGTTGTGTCTGTATGTCTGCTGGTATGAGTGTGTTGTGTGTGTGTGAGTGACTGTGTAAGTGTGAACAAGTGTGTGTTGTGCATCTGTGTCTGTGTGTGTGCATGCGAGTGTGCACACTGCACACAGGTACACTCACCCACTGCACTTCCTCCCTGTATGGGAAGCCCAGCCAGTCGCAGACACAGGCATACATCTGCGAAAACCCGCCTGGAACAGAACAGAAACCGACAAGTTTTCGGGGAAGCGACTGACGTTGAAACTTAAAAGCTCCCACATGACCGACGCTCCTTCTCTGCTTGGGAACCAGGATGCCCTCGGGCGGGCGGGCGGGCAGGCAGACAGCGGGCGGGCGTGGGTGTGTAGCAGCCTCCGTACCACCGCCCGCGGATTACACTCCCGCTGACCACACCCGCATGCACCCTGGGCTAGACCTCACGGCCTGGCGGGGCCTCCTCGCAGCCTGAGCGCTGCTGGGAATGTGCTCACCGCAGGGGCCCTGCTCGGCCGCCGGCTGGCTGTCCCACTCGGCCTGCAGGCTGGCCAGCCGCTCCGACGGCTCCATGGACACCCTCTTCATGATTTTCCTGAGGACCACAACAATGAGGAAGGTCAGAATGCGGGTGATTTGGACAGACTGCACGCAGAAATCTATTTTCTGAGAAGCCTTTATTATTTTATTTTTCAACATATTTTCATTGATTTCAGGGAGGAAGGCAGAGAGAGAGAGAAACATCAGTGATGAGAGAGAATCATCGATCAGCTGCCTCCTCACACCCCTCAGTGGGGATCGACCCTACAACTGGGCATGTGCCCTTGACTGGGATTAAACCCGGGACCCTTCAGTCCGCAAGTCAACGATCTATCCACTGAGCCACACCTGCTAGGGCGCCACACGTGTCTGAGTTTTCTGCACCAACCATGTCCTTCTCATCACTTCACAACTGGGCATCCATTGCTCCCTCCCAAACCTGGCGCCATGCAGGTCAAGACCGCCTCTGCCTCTCACGGTGCCAACCCGCCAGACAGCTCTCCCCCGAGGGTGCCCATTGTTCTGCCCCAAGCGTGCCTGATGCCAACCCACTGTGGACAGCTCTGCCCCAAGCATACCTGATGCCGGGTCATTGCACCAAGCCCTCTGGGCTCTGGGCTCTGGGCTCCCGGGAATGTCACCCACCTCGCTCTGCACTCTCCTCTTTGACTCGACCTCTACACCTGGGGCTCCCTGTCAGGACCCTTTCTGTCCAGGGACCTCGTCACAGGAAACCTCAGCCGTGAAACAGGGGCCAGTGGGAGGCGGCCAGCCTTCCCCCCGCCCTCCCCCCGGACTCACACGGGAGACAGGCCAGGAAAGATCCTCCGCAGGCAGGAGCCCACGTGGGCCAGCACCTCGCTCACGTCCTCGGGTGCGGCCATCCTCAGGGACACGCTGTACTTCTCGGTTTCCACAGCCATCTGCAGGGGGAAGGGCGGGGGCCGCTGATCACCACCCAGTGCCTCGCACGTGTGAGTGTAAGTAACAGAAAAGAAGGCCCTGCCCGGCCCACGTGGCTCAGCGCTTGATCATCAACCTACGAACCAGGAGGTCACGGTTCAATTCCCGGTTACAGGCTCCATCCCCAGTGAGGGGTGTGCAAGAGGCAGCCGATCTGTGATTCTCTCTCATCACTGATCTCTCTCTCTCTCTCCCCCTCACTTCCTCTCTGAAATCAACTTTAAAAAATTTAAAAAAAAAAAAGAATGAGGCCCTGAGGGTGGGGGATGGGCGGGAGGTCCCATGCCAGGCAGCAGCAGGCGCGGCGCTGGGACCCAGGCTCCTGACCCCCTCAGGGCTGCTGGCAACGCAGTGGCCTCTGGAAGCTGGTTCTGGAAACCAGTCCTGTCTGGAATATGCTCGGTTACCCAGACCCTGAGAAAATGCTGAGTCCCTTCCCACCTCACTTCCGACCTGCTCTAGAAAGCCGCTGGTGAATACGTGGTAGAATTTGTACTCCTGTGTGTGTGTGTGTGTGTGTGTGTGTGAATATACATATATATGGAAATTCATGCAGTGGGGGGAAGGGAAGAGGAGTCCCTCAGCCAGGCCTGCCTCCTCTCACAGTCCGGCAGCCCTCAGGGGCAGGAGGCAACCCAGGGATCAGGGGAAGATGACACCCCCACCACACCTCTGCTGCTGCCACTGCTGGCAGCCAAGCCTCAGCCAGCCCTGGTTACCTGAGCCTCAGGCCTGGCCCTGGGCGGCTGTGTAGCCACCATCTGAGACTTGCCTAAATCTGTCTAAGGAGAGGGGGGGGGGGGCCGTGCAGGAGGACAAGAGGCCCCCTGCAAGGCTGAGGGGACTACAGAGGCAGGCACGTGCAGCAGCCGGCCTCGCCTCCCCCTACCCCAGTAGGTGCCACCATCTTGTGAGGGTGTGAGGGTTAATTTGCATACTCCTATTTGAAGATTGATTTCAGAAAGGAATCGAGAGAAACATCAATGATGACAGAGATTATCAGCTGCCTTCTGCACGCCCCACACTAGGGATCAAGCCTGCAACCCGGGAACGTGCCCTGACCAGGAATCCAACCGTGACCTCCTGGTTCATAGGTCAACGTCTACGCGCAGCACTGCACCGATTGGGCGTTAACTAGCTGTTCCCACACAATTACCGAGGTTTTCCTCACTGGAACCCTGCCCACAAAGCCCTTAGATTCTCTTCAAAACCTCCCGGGTCCCTCATCTTGCTTTTCCACATTCTCTTAAGAAACGTTCAACAGTGAGACCAACCAGAGGGCGTTTCATAGTCTCAGACCCTCAGGGGAAGTGATGACCCCGAGGTCCCGCCCCCGGTCTCCATGGCGCACACTCACCTGCGCGGGCTTGCTGCAGGTGACACCCTGAATGTCCAAGTAGCTGAAGGTCAGCTCAAGCTGCAATGAGGAGACAGGGGGACACAAACCTGTGATCAAGGCTGAGAGCACAGTTCAAGGTGAAAATGCTGCAGCCGGTGATGCACCAGCAGCCGGAGGTGGGCTGGCGTGTCTGTCCGTCCATCCCCAAGACGGCCCTCCATGTAGCCTATTTCAGAAGAGCACATTGTGCGTCCTCACGGGAAGGTGTATGTGGATTTAAGTTTCCTCCTGGGACAAACCCACTGGGAAGTGTTAGTGTTTCTCCTCTGGGTTTCCATTCGTGGAAATGAAGATGTGAAGTGAGGCCTCTAACCCTTTTTTTTTTTTAATTTTATTTCAATGTTTGCTTCGGAGAGTCACTGTCCTCCTTCCCAAACCCTGACCTCTTCGGGGGACACGGACCAGTCAGGGGGCCGTCATCCCCCCGGCCATCTCCCAGAGATTCACGTTTTGAATGGATTTAGAGAAACAGAGTATTTAGGAATTTTAAACCAGGCTTAAAGGAAACATAAATAAAAGCCCTCTCCCCCTGCAGGTAGGGAAGTAGTTTATTTCCTTCTTGTTTAGCAATAAGGGTGTCTTCCACTCTTCTCCTGGGATCAGCACTTGGCCAGTGACTCAGTCTGGAGGCTGTGGGTTCGATTCACCGTCAGGGTGGGTAGGGGAGGCAGCAATCGATGTCTCTCTCTCACTCCCTTCCTCTCTCTCTAAAATCAAAGGAATGATCCTCAGAGAGGATTTAAAGAAACAGCAGGTCCAGTCTCCCCTCCCTGCCTTTTTCCTGGACGGTGGCCACTGACCTCCCTGGCTCTACAGCCTCTCACCCTCCGGCAGACAAGATGGAGTCCGGCCCTTTAATCTGGCCTCTCCTTCCACCTGGAAATGTAATAGGACCCTCTGCTCTGTGGGTAGTACTATCACGTGTGGTGCATGTGTGCACGTGTACACGTGGGGGGTGGGCTGTACCGTCCCATGTATGGTACACTTTCATACATGTGTGTTAGAGTGTGTGCACGTGTGTGTGGTGCGTTTGTTCGTGTATGCATGTGTGTGCGTAGTGCACGTGGTGCATTTGTTAGAGCGTGTGCACGTGTGTCCTGCATTGTGCACGTGTGTATGGTGTGCGCGCGCGCGTGTGTGTGTGTGTGTGTGTGTTTGTGTGCGTGTGCACGGGTGTGCACGGTGCGTGCGTCGGCAGGAGGAGGCTGGGCGCCGGCACTCACCTTGGAGGGGATCCGCGCTGCGAGCAGGAAGGCCCGGCAGGCCGTCAGCACCTGAGGAGAGCGGGGTCAGTGCTGCTGGCCGACCCCGGAGCGGCCAGGCCGCCGGGGGTGACGGCTGTCTGTCCGTCGGCCCCGCCCCGCTTCCCGTCCTGCGCCGGCCCACCTGCTCCGCGTCCCTCCGCGTCCCCCTCCCCGTTCTCCGCCGACGCTGCGTCCCCCATGTTCCTCCGCCCCGGCCTGCGCCGCCGGTTTCCCAGCATCCTCTGCGCCCCACGTGACAGCTGCACGCACGCCGTGGCGTCATTTACGCCGCCGTTTGCGACATAGCCGCCATCGCAGGAGGACCACTGCCTCCTGGACGGGACTCCACCCGCAGCGACGGACAGAGACGCGAACAAAACGCGAACTGAAGCCTCAGCCACGCCGGCGCCGCGATGGCTCAGCGGCCAGGCCCCAAGGCCCGCAGGCCCGTCCTAACCGCACCTCCTTCGGCCCAGCGGCCTCATCTCGGAGCATCCCACTGAGAGCAATGGCGGCTCCCCTCACCCCCACCCCTTCTCCCCCTTCTTCCCTCCCCCCACCCATTCTCCTCACCCCCCCCCATCCCTTCTCCCCTCCCCCGCTGCGGCCCCGTCCCCCGCCGGCACCGGACCGGCCCCTGGGCTGTCGCGCGGGGCCTCCCACAGGGCCGGGCAGGAGCAGGGGAGACTCCGTGCTCACGTGGGCTCACCCTCCAGGCAGGAGCCATTTTTGCTAACGGTCACCTGAGGGTAGTTTCCCATTGGTTTTCAGGGAGAGACAGAGAAACATGGATGGGTGGTCGCCCGCACGCACCCGACCAGGGCCGGGCCGGGGAGAAACCTGCAACCGAGGTCCGTGCCCTTGACCGGACTCGAACCCAGGACCCTTCAGTCGAGGGTGGACGCTCTATCCACTGATCCACATCGGTGAGGGCTACTTTTTACTTTTTATTTTCCTTGTGAGCTGCTTCCCCCCTGACTGTGGCTCCCTCTCCATCCTTCCAGAGCAAGAGCACATGGGAACGACAGAGGCTGACATTTACTGATAGGAGGGCTTCAGAACTTCCCGTTCCTGCCCCTGTGGCTGGGCCAACAGACGCATCTTTCCAGCACGTCAGTCTACACACACACGGGAAATACGGGCCTCGCCTGTTTGGCTCCGTGGATAGAGCATCCGCCTGCGGACTGAAGGGTCCTGGGTTCGTTTCCAGTTAAGGGCACATGGGCAGAATGCAGATTTGATCCCCCGTAGGGAGCGTGTAGAGGCAGCCCATCTATGATCCTCTGTCATCATTGATGTTTCCCTCTTTCTCTCCCTTCCTCTCTGAAATCAATAAAAATATATTGTAATAAAAAGCCGAGACTGGTTTGGCTCAATGGATAGAGCGTCGGCTTGGGGACTGAAGGGTCCCGGGTTTGATTCCAGTCAAGGGCATGTACGTTGGATGCGAGCATATCCCCAGTAGGGGGTGTGCAAGAGGCAGCTGATCGATGACTCTCATCGATGTTTCTGGCTCTCTGGCTCTCCCTTCCTCTCTGTACAAAATCAATAAAATATATTAAAATATATATACATATATATTATATATATATAAAATATATATATATTGTAATAAAATAAAATTTTATTGCAAAACAGCCACGTCCATTCATTGTCAGGTGGTGGAGACGTGAGAGCAGAGACCTGGCCTGGCCTATGGGCCTCACACTTGCTGCCCAGCCCTTTACAGGAGGAGGGTGCTGCCCACATCTGACTGACTGTCCCCCATAGAACATGTCTCATAAACCACATGGAAGACTTACGTAGCTAAAAGTATTTACAAGTGCCAGGGCCGGGGCAGGCCACCCTGAAAGATGCCACTCTGAGGTGTTTTGATTCCTGTGAAGTAAAGTTGCTTAAGCAACTGCTCATGCAAGAACACTGGGGCCTCTTTGTGCCCCAAGCCCACCCTGCACCCAGGGCCCAAGGAGGAAGAGTCAGGGAATTCGGGGCCGACAGATGTGTACACAAACTTGCTCTTCCTTTTTTATTTTTTTAATGTATTTTATTGATTTTTCACAGAGAGGAAGAGAGAGGAATAGTTAGAAACATCAATGAGAGAGAAACATCAGCTGCCTCCTGCATGCCCCCTACTGGGGACATGCCCTTAACCAAGGTACATGCCCTTGACCAGAATTGAACCCGGGACCCTTCAGTCCGCAGGCCGACGTTCTATCCACTGAACCAAACAGGTTTCGGCCTGCTCTTTCTTTTTCTCATTTACTATGCAAGCCCAAACTCTGCTTACACTCCTCAGTAATGAGCACCTGAAACTCGTTTCTTCTCTCAAATCCTCACAAATGTCTTGATTCTTCCCATTAAAAGAGCACCTTGCCTGCTTTGGAGTCACTTTCTTTAAAAAAAAAAAAAAAAAAAAAAGAGTTTTTATCGATTTCAGAGAGGAAGGGAGGAGAGATAGAAACATGAGAGAGAATCATGGGTCGGCTGCCTCCTGCACACCCCCTCACTGGGGATGGAGCACGTGCCCGACCGGGAATTGAACCATGACCTTCTGGGTCCTCAGTGATCGCTCACCATTGAGCAACTCTCTGAGCACCAATGTGTGATCCCCGCGCACACCAAGTTGCACTGGCTTTTCCGTCTCCCGTCAAGTGTGCTGTTGGTCCAGCACAAGCTCCGAGGAGGGGGAGAGGACTTCCCCGTCCCGACAGAGGTCAATCGAATGTGCCGCTTGCTTCTGGTCACTGCTGTTTTATTTATAGCCTCCAAATGAAATCTACCAAAAACATGCCTCAAAAAAAAAAAAAAAAAAAAGGAAAAGGAAACCGAATGATAAGGAGACATTTTCTGGCTCTAATTCAGGCCGCGGTGCACTTCAAGTCCATGAGAGCCCCTGAGGAGCGGAACAAACTCCATGGGTGTGAAAAAAAGAAAAGAAAAAAGAAAAATGTGCCTAAAGAAGGTGAAAAACTGAAGGCTCTGGGACGTGGAGCCGGCGTCCGGCGTCGGCCACACAGACGGTCCCGAAGGCGCTAAGCCGCCGTGAGGGCGGAGAGGGAGGGAAAGGGGAGGGCGCAGAGGCCTCCCCCAGGCCTTCCCATTAGGCTCCACAGCAGCGGTTCTCAACCTGTGGGTCTCGATCCCTTTGGGGATCGAACGACCCTTTCACTGGGGTCGCCTAAGACCATCGGAAAACACGGATATTTACATTACGATTCAAACCAATAGCAGAATTACAGTTATGAAGCAGCAACGAAAACAGTTTTACGGTTGGGGGTCACCACACCATGAGGAGCTGTATTAAAGGGTCGCCACATTAGGAAGGTGGAGAACCACTGGGCTAGACGGCAGAACACGCACGCCATGTCTCTCCCAGAGATCAAAGATGGCTCCACAAACGGGTCAAGAGTCAGCCCCCCCCACACACACACACACAACAGGTTTGTAAGGTTATCTGATTCCCAAACAGCCCCTCAGGGCAGCCTCCACCTCGGTCCTGACACTTGAAAGCGTGATCTGTGCTGGAGGCCACACAGCTAGGACGCAGCTGGGACAGGCTTAGCCAGGCCTCCCTGGGGTCTGCCTGGTTCCAGGTGCCCACGACCGCCCCCCAAAGGGGCTCAGTGAAACCGCCTGGTGAGTAACAACCCGCACGGAGCTGGGTTCCTCCCTCGGCGGCCCTGTCCTTCCACTTCCTGCCCCAGGAAGGCTCAGACACAGGCAGCTGCCCCTCAGCAGGTGACGCGGAGACAACACAGAACATCCCCTCCCCGCCACCAAGGCCACAGGCCTGGATTGTGGGCTCGATCCCCAGTAGGGGGCGTGCAGGAGGCAGCTGATCAATGATTCTCATTGATGTTTCTCTCTCTCCTCTCCCTTCCTTTCTGAAAACAATAAAAATATATGTTTAAAATAATTAAAATAATAAAATAAAAAAGATTCGATGCGTGGACTTAGCAACGGTGGGTCCACTACCTGGACCCCCCGCCCTGTGACCGCCCTGAGCATCGGGGCAGCCTGGTGTCCAGGAGCCAAGAGCTCAGCACAGAGCTGGGAACGAGCCCAGAGCAGAGCCGGAGGGGGAACATGCCGTCCCTGCCTCCCAGCCTCCTTTCTCCCGAGTCACTCTTTTCTTTAAAAAGGGAAAACCTTGTTCTGAGTCCGCAGTTCTCACAGTCCCTGCTCTGAGGAGCGGAGAGCTGTGCCCACGCAGGAACACACTGTGAGTCCCAGGCCCGGACGCAAGGTCACGGCTGAGCCAAAGGCAGTCAGAGGGAGGAGGGTGCCTCGGGCTCCCTGCCTGGCCACGGCCGCGGCCTTGGCCTCGCTTCCCTTATCCGTGGGGAGAATCCACCATCCCCTGCTTTAGGAAGGCCCAGCTGGTGAAAGGCAGAGTGAGGAGGCGGGGACCCGGGGAGGGTCATGCGGAGGGAAGGAAGCCAGTCCCAGAAAGACACACACCCCGGACCTCGCTTCCCTGGAGATCACGCAAACACAGGACACTGACAACATGGATGCAGAGACAGGAACGGACTGAGGAGGCTCCGACGGAGCCAGAGAGGGTGGGAAGAGATTAGCCACAGACAGACCTTGTCTGCACAGATGCATCGCCAGGGACACAGGCTACAGGTGGGGGGGTCGGTCAAGGTGGGGGAAGGGAACACTGTAATACGTTCCACAATAAAGACAGATTTTTTTTTAAGGTTACAGCTGTGTGAACCCACTCTAGAGCAGGCATGCAATGACGGAATGACAGAGAGGAGGGCAGGTCACAGTAAGGGGAGTGTGGCAGTCAGGCGGATTTTCATAGGCAATGGAACTGCAGAGAATTAAACACACCCCACCCCACCCCACCCCACCCCAGCGCAGGGAACCCAAATCCTGAGATGACTGTGTCAACGTTAACCGAGTGATTGTGACTTTGTAACCTCGCTTTGCAACATGCTATCCCCGGGGCAGCAGAGAGGGGAGCCCAGGGTTTTGTTAGCTCTCACAGCTGCGTCAGACTCTCCACTGTCCTCAGACGAGGG